AGAAATATCCTCAGATGAAAATCTGGGAAAATGAAGCCCTTTCGTGATGAAACCTGCTCTGTGATGTGGCTGACTTTCCAGCTAAACAGGAGTTACCAACTGTATGTTTGCGTGGTCTCTTTGCTATGTCATTCATGGTGGAATTTGAGACACAGATATTGATCGGATCCCTTGGAAGGGACTTCTGTCTCAGGGCCAAAGGAAGGATATCTTCCGATAACAAAAGAGGAAAGGGAAGCTTTTCTGAGAAAACTTCCGTTGTGTTCTGGGAATCATCTCACCAGAGGTTACCCAGGCTTGTCCCCCAAGAGAGCCTTTCGCTAAGACATTCTTTGTCGGAATTGGCCACAGAAGTGATATTGGATAGCCGGGGGCATAGGAGGGCTATGGTGAAAAAAGAATATCCTCAGATGAAATCTGGAAGGAAGCTTACTTGCTGGAAACTGGGCTTAGTGTCTCGCTTACTTCATCTCACAGAGTACATCTGCAGTTTCGTGGATCTCTTGCTAAGCCTTATTTGTGTGATATCTGAGAACAGATATTTCGATCCCTAGGAAGACGTATGAGGCCAAAGGGAAAGGTTATGCCTGTCCGCTCCGATAACAAAGGAGAAAGAAGCTTTCTGAGGAGGAAGGCATCGCTATAGGTTCGTGTTGAAATCATGGGGCTCACCCACGATGTAGTTACCAGCTTTGCTCCGCCAGAGGGAGAGCCTTTCCCGTAGGACGAGGCTTGTGGAAGTTGGCAAGAGTGATATTTGCGGGAACGGGTCCCATTAGGAGGGCTATGGTTGAAAAAGGAAATATCCTCAGGAAGGAATTCTGTAAGGAAGCTTTCTGAGAAACTGCTTAGTATCCTGCTTAAGTTCATCTTTCCAGGGAGTTACATCTGGTGATTTGCCCCGCGTAGGATCGCTTTGCTTAGGCATGATTTCTGCTTGAATCTGAGGAAGCAGGATATTTGTCGGGATTCGCTTTGGGAAGCACGTACTATTAGGGCAAAGGGGGAAAAATGGCAAAGGCCATCAGCTGTGCCCCACTGAGCGCACGCAGGCTGGATGCACAGCCAGGCGGGCCCTGAGGGGGGGCAGACGTCACGAAAATGCCAGCCCAAGGCTAGTGCCTCTTTGGCCCATGGAATTTTTTTGTTTGGGCGGTGGTTGTTGTTTAAAGTATCATGGTCAAAATGAGCTTTTGGCCAGGGGATGAGTGGCTCGCACTGCCTCTAAATTCCCAGCAGCTTCAGTCCGAGGACAAGCGGCCGGATCACTGAGGGTCCAGAGTTCGAGGGAACCAGGGCCTGCCAGCTGTGGGGTGAAAAGCGCGCAGTCTTCTACTAGAAGGATACGAAAAGTTGAGGGCCGTGTGGTGTAGCAAGGCGCGGCGTATAATCCAGCCGGTACTCGGTAGGGCTGAGGGCTGGCATTTCTCATTGGCTGCCAGGAAGGTCGGAGTCGAACAGGGCTCCCCCTCGGCAGCGGTGGAAGTGCTTATGCGAGGCACTTTCATCCTCATTCCTGCTCCGTTTTGTAACCACTCCCACCTTCTTTCACCCCCCTCATTTCACTCTTAGGACAGGGGTTCCTGGGGCTCCTCACTCCTCCCTTCTTCTCTTAGGACCTTGTCTCTAAGTCCCCAAGTCACTTAGTGGCCTAGGATGGCTGCTCCATGAGCTAAAGCTGCGCTGGAATATCCCTTCTGCCTTCTCTCACCTTAACGGACTCGGCTTGATGCTTGCTTGTCTCTTAGGTCATCTGTTCAAATGAGGCAGGGGCTGGGGAGGGAAGGGAAGGAAGGGAGGGAGGGAGGGAGGGAGGGAGGTGGGGCAGGGGCTGGGGAGGGAAGGGAGGGAAGGAGGTGGGGCAGGGGCTGGGGACTGAAGGTAGGGAGGGAGGTGTGCGGTGCTCCTTGGGCAGCGCGTGCAGGCATTTGCACGCCAAGAGCTCTTACCCCATGTTGAGACTGTCTCTACTGTGTCTGCAACATCAGAACACCTCCCATACCTGCTTCTCTTTCTCTTTGAAGGCACAGTTGCAAGGTGTCGGTTCTTTTGCGTTTTTCGGTTCGTGCTCCTCTACACTTTCCTGAGTGAAAAGTATCAGGTTAGCAAGAGAGCGCTAACCTTAGTGTATCCTTACCTGTTCCAGTCTAGGACAGGCATCTGAGGTTTCTAGAAGATGCTGGGACTCACTCAGATAGGTGGGCAGAAGATAGGGGATCACTGCAGGGGAGTCTTTTTCTTTTTTATTTGAGACAGGGTCTCACTCTGTCACACAGGCTGGAGTGCAGTGGCATGACCACGGCTCACTGCAGCCTCGACCTCCCAGGCTCAAGCGATCCTCCCACCTCAGCCTCCCAAGTAGCTGGGACTACAGGCATGCACCGCCACACCCAGCTAAGTTTTTTCATTTTTAGTAGAGATGGGGTTTTGCCATATTGCCCAGGCTGGTTACCATCTCCTGGGCTCAAGCCATCCTCCTATATCAGCCTCCCAAAGTGCTGGGATTACAGGTGTGAGTCACCATGCCCAGCTAATTTTTTATTTTTTGTAGAGATGGGGGTCGTGCTATGTTGCCCAGGCTGGTCTCAAACTCCTGGCCTCTAGTTATCCTTCTGCCTTGGCCTCCCAAAGTGTTAGGATTACAGGCATGAGCCACTGCACCCGGCCTGGTATCTTTTTCTTGAGCCATCGTCTATCCACACACTGCACCACTCTAGCCACATTTTACTTTTCCATCCTGGTGAGGGCCCGAGGTTACCACCCCCAAACCCCCATTCTATTCTCATCCCACACATCTACCAATTTCTACTTTTTGATCAAAAACACATAGTGGTGCTGAGGAAACCAGGATCTTGAAAATACCTGGGCCAATGAAAATCTTGGGAAATAGTTAAATAAAATAGTACTGATATGATGATGTAGAAAACAATACTGATATGATGGCCGAGTGTGGTGGCTCATGCCTATAATCCCAGCACTTTGGGAGGCCAAGGTGGGCAGATCACTTGAGCCCAGGAGCTCCAGACCAGCCTGGGTGACACAGTAAAACTCTCTACTAAAAAATACAAAAATGACCCTCTACTGAAAAAATACAAAAATTAGCCGGGCCTGGTGGCGAGTGCCTTGTAGTCCCAGCTACTGGGGAGACTGAGGTGGGAGGATCATTTGAGCCTGGGAGGCAGAGGTTGCAGTGAGCCAAGATTGTGCCACTGCACTCCAGCCTGGGCAATAGAGCGAGACTCTGTCTCAAGCAAGCAAACAAACAAAAAGAAAAAACAAAAACAAAAAACAAAAAGAAAGAAAAGAAGAAAAAGAAAAAGAGAAAAGAGCATGATTGAGAGGTCCTGTTAGCTAAGGGTTTTTATATGCGTTCCTTCACGGGATTGACTCCTGTGGGTTAAGCACATTTTTATTTTCATCTTAAAGAAGAGGGACTTGAGCTCATAATGCAGAGGGAAGGTTAGGGGCTCCAGCCCAGCTGAGACCACTCCGCAAAGCTGTAGCCAAGCCCCTTGGGGAGGATTTGATTGGCTGGAGCCCGGAAGGGGAGCTGGGCGGCTCCCTAGCCAGAAGCAGCTAGTACATTTCAGTGGTTCTCACATTCAAGTCCTAATAAAGGCCGAGGAACAGGCTTGCATCCTTCTCCAAGGGCAACTTCTGTGTGTTTAAAATGTTCCTATTGAAAATCCCAGTCTTAACCCATTCACGAAAATATCAGCTGTTTCTTGGCTGTGGCCCTAGTTGTATTCACTAAATAGAAAAGACAGCTTTACAAAGGCACTGCTGGCTCTAGGAGGACCCACGAAAAAGTCTCGGGGTCTGCAGGACTCGCCAGCGGGCAGGAAGCTTATTGAAAGCGATGCAGGCATTGCCCCCGCCCCCGAGTGGCCTTTTCTCTTCCCCACAGTAACCGAGTAACCGAGCTTGCTCTGTGACAGGCTCTGCCGGCATCACACCATTTAACCACCCCACGAAGCAGGTCCTGTTGTTACCGTTATTGCCGCTGTTGAGAAACCTGAGACAGAGGTAAAGTTACCTACTGAGGCTCATTCAGGGACAGCGGTGGGCTTGAACCCTCTGCCCTATCTGTTCGACTCCAAAGTCTGCCTCTCATCTCAGAGAAACTCTGCCGCCTTATTTAGCAATGTGGGAAGTGAACTAGATGGGGCACAGCCTGGGCCATTGTCACTGTCACACTGTCACTGCAGGGGAGCTGTGGACCCAGAGCATCCCAGAGTTAGGAGGCCGATGACCACGAGGTTCTCTGTGAATGACCAGCACTGAGGTTTTTCCCAGCATTTTATGTCAGGTCTGATTTGCCAGAGGTATTAGTATAGAACTATGCCTTTTTTCTGTTTTAAAAGAGACGAGGTCTTGCTCTGTTGCCCAGGCTGGAGGGCAGTGGCGTGAGCATAGCTTACTGCAGCCCCAAACTACTAGGCTCAAGTGATCCTCCTGCCTTAGCCTCCCAAGTAGCTGAGACTACGGGTGTGTGGTGCCACACCTGGCTAATTTGTTTATTTTTATTTTTAGAGGTGGTGTCTTGCTATGTTGCCCAGGCTGGTCTTAAGTCATCCTCCTGCCTCAGCCTCCCAAAGTTCTGGTATTACAGACGTGAGCTGCCCTGCCCGGCTGGAAGGATGACTTTTGACTCTGGGAAGTTCTGCTCAGTGAAGAGATGTTCAGGTATTAAAACTACAGTGGTTGTCTGTGTGTCGGGGGCGGGTAGTTCTGAAACTCAAGATGACTAATTTCGTTTCCCAGAGCCTCGACTGTTCCATCTTTATGAAGGGGCACTGAGATTTTATACAGGAGACTTGGAAAAAAATCGACCCCTTGTGAAAATATTAGGTGTGAAACTTAAAGGAATTCTACTTTCCTTTAACTTCCATTTAATGCAAATATACTCCTAGGAAGCAGCTGCTGCCCAGACAGATGTATACAGGTTCCCTTTTGAATCTTGCAACACTGAAAAAAAACTGTTTTCTGTGATGTTGTCAAACTCTTGAACAGCAAGAAAAAAAGAGATTTTTCCCCCTTTTTTCTTCCCTTAACAAACAGGAGTTTCTGATAACATGTTAGTCACAAACCTTAAATGCAAACTGAGCCTGGGGATGAACCCCGAGAGAAATAGTGACGGAGTAGATGGGGTGTACCCTGGAAAGGAATGAGGTGGATGAGTGGGTGGGCTGGGAGGGTTGGGATTAGAGGTCGCTGAGGTCCCGTTTCTGTAGCTGAGTAGCCGGGTGACACCGCCCTCCCACCTTCTCAGTTTCCCCTCAGTGGGCAGATGCCCAGCAACCCTCCTTGCAGGCTGACATGAGGTAAGGGTGAGCCGTGCCCTGTGGGGTGCGCCTGACAGCAAGTGCTCCATAAATAAACACCATCAGCCTTGCTGTGATCGTGGCTCTACTTCTTATCAAATCTTTCCCTACGTTGTGAATTCCACAAATTTGAAAGTTCCCAGCTCCAGCTGGGGACCTGACACAGGTTTGGCTTGGCCGCCTCGGACCTTCCTCCTCCCGCTCCGTGGACGGCTGGCCAGCCCGCATTGTGTGTGCGTAGGGAGGCCATGAATAATGCATGTGGACTGATTATGTAAATCTGCAGGTTTTCTTTCATTTTCAGCCAGTGCATGACAATGGGCTTTTTAGGGCCCTCTGCTGTCCCATTCTGTGGTTTGGTGTCTCTGCTGTGGGCCTGGCCTGCCAAGCCCTGGGGGACGCTGCCTCGGGAAGGAGCGAGCTCTCCAGTGGGCACATCAAAGGACATCTCAGGCCTCTGTTGCTGCCCAGATCTCCCTGGCATGGCACAGCGTGAAAGGAAACCGTCCTCTGCCCGAGGTGGCCCCATGACATATGCAGAGGGGGGCCTGTGATGTTTAATTCAGAGTGGTGAGTGCTGGAAAGGCCGCGTCCAGAGCAGGACGTTGACTTCATTTTTTGGGGCTGCAAGCCAGGGAACCTGCGGTCTGCAAGGTTTGTGGGATGAAGGCCAGGACTCTGCAAGGAGGTCACCTGGTTGGTGCAGGGGGCACCCTTCCCCGGGGGTTTGACCCTCTCTGAGCTCAGGCAGGCAACACACACACACACACACACACACACACACAGCGTCACACATAGACAAACCCTCATGCACATGGCACACATGTACACACACACACACAAGCATGCATGCACACATAAAAGCTGACAGTTACAAGGAGGGGACTCAGGGCCAACCCCACAGAGAGCAGGAGAACCGGGGTCAGAGGGATCTGGGGTCAGGTCCCAGCCCTCCTTACCAGCCACTGTGTGCACTTGGGCGTCTCTTAACTCTCTGAGGCGCAGTTTCCTCATCTGTAAAATAGGGATCATCGTACCAGGCACGGCTATTAGAGGCTATTAGAAGCCCTATCACGGCTGCAAAGCTCAGATGAGCCCAGTCCCTGGCCTGGAGACAGTCATGAAGAGACGGTGGCTGTGGCTCTTTCCCTTACTTGCCTAACCCCAGCCTTGGGATCTGCTCCACCTTAGGCAAGAGTGAAGGAAAGGGAGAGTCCGGCTCTATTTAGAAGCTGCTGTTCCAGTGCCTTGTGGACTGCAGGAGTGGATGATGAATATGTAAACTGCAAAGCAGACAGGAAAGCCCCTCTGGCAGCTTTCAGGGAGCTTCAGAAGCCGCCTGGGTGCTGCTCATACGTGACTTGGTTTGGGGAAACTTTCCAGTGTGTAGACCCTACCGGGTCTGAGGCAGGACTCACCCAGGAGATCAGGTGCACGGGTTATGGGCAGCATGGGTCATGGGCAGCATGGGGAAGGCAGTGTCCACCGGCTGGTGCCAGGCCCTGGGCAGGTGCTTCAGAGACGGGACAAGCACCCTCACCGTCCGAAAGCACTTGGCTCCCGAGGTCTGATGACAGCGAGAGTGGACAGCAGATAGCGAGGGCTGCCTGCATTCTTTCATCCTCACCATCCGCCTGCGAGGCAGGGGCTGGAAGCTCCCATTTACTAATGAGGAAAGCAAGGCTCAGAGAGGGGAAGAGACCTGCCCAAGGTCGTACAGTTAATAAGTGCAGGGATTTGAGCCCAGGACCGGCTGACTCCTGTACTGTGTTACAGATGAGATACCAGGGTGTGTGTGTGCGCATGTGTGTGTGGTGGGAGGGGACCCATTTTCCCTGGGTCACCAGCCCGAGACTGGAATCTTAGTTTCTCAACCCAGTGCTATTTCCAACTCTGCGCCAGGAAGCAAATCTCATCCTCACGCCTTTCCTCCGTGGCTCCTTCAGCCGGGAATGCCCACCCTTTCATCTCTTTGGTGGGCAAGCTCCAGCTCTCCTTTGCAGTCACTGGCAGTATCGGGGCTTTGGCAGACCCTCCCTGCACGCGCTAGGCAGGCTGAGTGCCCTCCCTGGACTGCACAACCCTGGCACCCTTCGGTGATGGAATCCACCTGAAGTCAGCTCTCTGTCTGTTCCACACTAAGGGATATGTTCTTCGACGACATCCATCTGCCCACCCACCTGTATACTCCTCAGTCCATCTATTCATCCATCTGTCTATCAATCAACCTGTCTGTCCTTCCACAGATCCATTCACCGAATATTTACTGGGTGTCTACTGCGTGCCGGGCACTCAGAATAGTGAATCCAAATCTCCACTCTCTGAGAGCTTATATATTCCTAGCGCCTGGCAGATTAATATAAATATGAATAACAGCCACCATTCGAAAAATACAGATGAGCACCATGAGTCTCAGAGAGGTTAAGAAACCTATCTAAGGTCACATAGTAAGCGGTCGAGCTCTGGTCTAAACCTAGGTCTGTCTGATGCAAAAGCCATCCAGTTGCCTCCCCTTCCATCCATCCATGTGTTCTGCACTACCTGGATCCTCCAGGGACTTCCCTTGGCCATTGCTAATGGGAGCTGCAGGGCCGCCAGGCAGGTTCTGCCCCGGGCAGCAGCGCCTCACCTTCTGCTGCTGGATGGCCCTGTTGATCCTCTTCTCCTGGCACAGCTGCTGCTCCATGCGTTCCAGGGCCTCCTTCAGCAGGGCCTTTTCTTCGGCCTCTTTGTAGATATCATCCTCCAGCTTTGCCACCTGCGACTGGTACATCTCAACGGACACTTTGCTCCGCCTAGGTGCACAGGAGAGATGGCGTCTCTTTTTCCCTTATCTTTCCCAATCACCATCAATGTGCCAGAGCTGGAAGTCTCTCAAAATACATCCAGGTGGGGCTCACTCATGAGTGTCACGCAAGCAGGAGAGCATGTCGAAGATTTGGGGCACGGAGAGCGGAACGAGCCGCTCGTCAGCCGAGTGTGTAGCGGGAGGGGATAAAGGAGGTGCTACCAGCCCCTCCCGACTTCCCGGGGAGCGGGGAACAGTGACTCTTGAAAATATGACAGAGCTGTCAACGCCACACAAGTGGGAAACCGTAAGTCGAGGGTTGCGAGAGGTGCAGCTTGCACAGAAAATAGTCCACAGAATGGAGAAACCATGCACTTCTGCAGCCGCCATCTCAAGGACAGAATTCCCTCTCCCAGGCCTAGTCAGTGCCCTTCCTGTTACCTTTCTGACATTTTAGGTATTCCACACTCGGGTCTCTGTCCTCCTGTCCCAGGCCTAGGTGTCTGCTGCTAGCCTGAGTTTAGCCAGGAGAAGGGAGGCACGGGCCTTTATGTGGGGTTGTGGGGGTGCCGAGGTACCTGAGCTGTTCAACGTCCTTTTCGTATCCTCTCAACAGCTCCTCTTTCCTCTCCAGTTGGTTCTTGAGCTGGGTGATCTTATCAAATACCAGGTCGAGGTCCCTTTGTCGAAGCTGGTTGACCTTGTCCCTCTCCTGGCGGGAGAGGTATTTCATGGACACGTGGCCGGACATGTCCTTGATGTTCATCAGACTTCCAAGGGTTTTGCTCATATCCAGATACTACAAGGAAAACATTCGTGTATAAGAGGCATTACTGGAGGCCGCTGGTGGCCGCTTTAAGGAGGCCAATGTCTAATTCTGTTTCATTCACTTTCTGCAATTGCAGAGAACACACACACGCTTTGAAAGGAGTGCAACTGGGGCTTTCAGCATGACTTTCATTTCTCCCACATCCATTTACGCTATGCCTTTTTTGAGAACCGGGGGTGAAAAATGACAACAGATATAAACACTTCATTCTAACTACCCAGTTTTTCAAGGAATTTGGCTATGTGATTCCTGACCCATGCTGGGATAGTAGGTAGGTCTTGCAGAGTTATTAGAACAACTAAACAGGCATGTGAGGTTGACATTTAAACTATCCCGTGGTTAACACTGACTGCAGGGGACCCAGGCTTTGGATAGAAGTGGGTTGGATGCTGGATGTACGTACCAGCTTTTCACTGAGCTCTAAAGCCTCAGCCACATCCATCTTCCCTGACTTCTCCATGGCTGAGCTGAACCTTGCGTTGCAAAGGCCATTCTGAGGCTGAAATCAGAAAGAAATGAAAGCGCTCTCTTGACATTCCATTGTGACCTTCTATGACCGGAAGCTAAAGCACTGTGTGATTGCCGGAGATTAACTCAACAGAGTTGATTTTCAGTCCGGTCCTGATCATTCCGTCTGATTCCTTTGTCAACTGCTTTCTTATAATTGTATTCCTACCCTTCAGAAAGCGACTCTGTCTTTGAAGTCTCTGTAATTATACATCACTTGTCTTGTTCTTTGATCACCGCCTGTCTTCCCTCTACAACAGTGGTTCTCAATTGGGGTGGTTTTGTCCCCTCCCCTGGGCCATTTGGCAGTGTTTGGACACATTTTTGATTGTCACAACTGCAGGCGGGGAGTGCTGCCAGCATCTAGGGGGTAGAGAGCAAAGATGCTACTAGACATCCACACGTCCCCCCACAAACCGCGCCAGACTGTGGGGTCCTAAAATATCAACAGTGCTGAGGCCTGGAAACCCTGGTCCAGATGAGAGTGCCATAGCAGCAGGGACTGGGTTGCTGTTTGCTCACTCTCCCCCTCCTTGTGCCCAGCATGGCGCCTGGCAGAGTGGGCATGTTTGTTGAATGAATGAATGCAGGTTAAACAGAAAATACCCCCCATCCTTTTATTAAAGGAGTGTCATTTTCATGCAGTGGAAACTGGACCCTCACTTCTGACGCTTTCCAGAGATGATGCAGATGGTGGGTGAGCATCACTTTAGACCCTTTCCAGAGAGGAGACAGCTGTGCACCTGCTAAGACCCTGCTCAGCCGGCTGCTTGCTGAAAGCCCCAGCCAAAGGCATAGAAAAGCCACCAGGCCAAGCGGGGAGTCTGGAGGCCATGGACAACCCCCATACATCCCCTCACAACTAAATTGGGTTGTCAGTGCTCGCCACGGACACCAAGATCATGTCAGCTCGCAGCATTTACTGGCTCTACATTGTAAACTTGGGAGATTTAAAAAAAAAAAAAACAAAAAAACCCCAAAAAACCCATTCACAAAAATATAAAAGCCTAAAAGTGACTGTGATAGGTGTGACATATTTGTCTATATTAAGAGTGGACATATTTATCTATCTATGAGATGAGAATAAAGCAGGTATTTAAAGATGACAATAAATTGGGCAGACTTGCTACAAAAAGAACCTAAAACGCAGCTTGGTGTCTCCAGGTCCCTGAGCCGCGTCCTCTGCACTCCCCTTCAGAATCCCCTCTCTTTTCCTGCAGGTTGCAGGAGTCCGGAGGGAGGGTGGCCTAAGGAAGAGTCCAGGCTGCAGGTTCAATCACACCATTCCCACCTCCTTCTCTGCAGACCAGCAGGCTACAAGAGGCAGACCTCCAGGGACACAGTCCTGGCTCTGTCATTCATTATTTTTGTGTCTTTGGGTGAGGCGCTTGACCTTCTGAAGCCTTAATTTTTGTTTTTCTTTCTTCTTTTTTTTTTGATGGAGTTTCACTCTGTTGCCCAGGCTGGAGTGCAGTGGTGCGATGTTGGTTCACTGCAACCTCCGCCTCCCGGGTTCAAGGGATTCTTGTGCCTCAGCACGGATGTGTACCACCCTGCCTGGCTAAGTTTTATATTTTTAGCAGAGACGGGGTTTTGCCACATTGGCCAGGCTGGTCTCGAACTTCTGGCCTCAAGTGATCTGCCTGCCTCGGCCTCCCAAAGTGTTGGGATTATAGGTGTGAGCCACCGTGCCTGGCCTGAAGTCTTAATTTTTCTCATCTGTAAAATGGGGATAACAATGGTAACTGATGTGGGCTGCTGTGTGGATTAAATGAGATAACACATGTGAAGGGCTTTGCTCAATGCCTGGTACACAGTAAGCATTCAGTAAACGCCAGCTATTCTTCTTCCTGCTCCTTCTCTTCTTTTTTCTTTTCCTTTTTTGAGACAGGGTCTCACTCTGTCACCGAGGCCAGAGTACAGTGGTGTGATCTTGGCTCACTGCAGCCTCTACTTGCTGGGCTCAAGTGATTCTCTAACCTCAGCCTCCCGAGTAGCTGGGACTACAGGCATGAGCCACCAATGCCTGGCTAATTTTTTGTAGAGACAGGGTCTCGCCATGATGCGCAGGCTGGCCTTGAACTCCTGAGCTCAAAGTGATCTGCCCACCTTGGTCTCCCAAAGTGTTGGGATTAGGCATGAGCCACTGCGCTTGGCCCCTTTCTCTTAATTTGAATTGCTGCCAGTGTTGTGTTGGAAGATTGAGGTCTTTTGAGAGAGTGGAGAGGTTTCTTGCTGTGTGGTGTCTGTGGTGGGACTGGGGTCCTACGGAGGGGAAGGCCCATCTTGGGAGCGGGTCAGTCTGTGGTGGGACTGGAGCACTGCCGAGGGGGAGGCCTGTCTTGGGAATGGGTCGGGCTGGGGATCAAACTGATCCCAATCTGGAGGCTGTCCCTCCACTCCCACCCTCAGGGAAGTAGGGTTTGATTTTCTCAAGAAAACCAGCTCATTTCCAAAGACCCTCTTCCCGGACTCTCGTAAATGTCCAGAAAAACTGCCGAGAGAATGCAGGATAGCCTCACTGTTTCCTCTAGAACCCTGCGTGGTGTGGATCCAGCTGCGGCAGCACACGTGCCCTCGGCGGGTCCTGTGACAGATGCTGACCTGTCACGTGTCCATCAAATGCCCAAACATCCATTTAGGGTAAAAAGGCACGTTCAATTGCACAATCAAATCACTTCTGGAAATCCTGTTGTCCCCGCTGGAGAGCAGCGGCACGATCATAGCTCACTGTAGCCTCGAACTCCTGGGCTCAAGTGATCTTCCCATCTCAGCCTCCTGAGTGGCCGGGACTGCAGGTACCTGGCGCCATGCCTGACTAACGTATTTTTAATTTTTTTGTAGAGATGGGGTCTCGCTATGTTTCCCAGGCTGGTCTCAAGCTCCTGACCTCAAGCAATCCTTTTCTCTTGTCCTCACAAAGTGGTGAGATGACAGGCATGAGCCACCACACCTGGCCTATTTAAATAATATTTAATAATAACATCTATCATTTATTTTTTCCTCTGAGCCAGCACTAGGCTAAGCACTTTCCAGAATTATCTCCTTCAGTATTTTTGTCATCATTTTATAGCTGGGAAATGGAGTCCCAGAAAGGTCAAGAGCCTTGCTGCCCCAGGTCACACAGCTTGCAGACCTTGGATCTGGACACAGGACCCTCTGACTCTAGAACTTGTGTGCTCTGAATCACGGCTCCCTTCTCCTGCCTTTTATGTATTTGTGTTTTTCCGGTGACAGCGAAAAGCAAACTTTAGGCAAACTCATGGCATAACATGATCTATTAGCCTGCTGCACATGTTCTGCAGAATATCATGCATGATCGGCCGGGCGCGGTGGCTCACGCCTGTCATCCCAGCACTTTGGGAGGCCGAGGCGGGCGGATCATGAGGTCAGGAGATCGAGACCATCCTGGCTAACAGGATGAAACCCCGTCTCTACTAACATACAAAAAATTAGCCGGGTGTGGTGGCGGGCACCTGTAGTCCCAGTTACTCAGGAGGCTGAGGCAGGAGAATGGCGTGAACCTGGGAGGTGGAGCTTGCAGTGAGCCGAGATAGCGCCACTGCCCTTCAGCCTGGGCGACAGAGCGAGACTCCGTCTCAAAATAAATAAATAAATAAATAAGTAAATAAATAAATAAATAAAATCACACATGATCTGCAAAGGGGGCCAGCCATGCTGGCCCATTGACAATGTGGCCCAATGTCAACGCCATGCTGAACCATGCTGTGCACAAGCATAAGGCTACCTTTCTGTGCAAAGCCTGGACAATGGGTATGGTTGGGGCACCAGCTAGTGAGCACAGACAGCAGCCCATGAGGAAGGACCTGGCCCTGAACCACTGATATGTATGGCTGTGCCCGGGAACCCAGCTAGTGTCTGCCCTCAGGCCCCTCCTCGCCACACGCCAGTCACAGCAGAGAGAATTGTCGTTGGTTACCGCTAGAATCTCTATTCTTGAGAGAGTTGGCAAATCTGGTTTTGCATCCAATAGTATTTTCTGGATATTGCTTTTCATTCTGAGGTTCTTTAAATCTAGAAAGGATTCATTCTGGTGGTCTTTATGATCTATAAAACAAATAAAGTAGACTCAAAAGAAAGGCTCAGGAAGAAGTTATTTTATGTAATAACCATAGCAACTATTTACGGGACAGTTACACAGCCCTGTTTTAATCCTTACAACCTCCCGTGGCAGATGAGGACACAGACCTAGAGAGATTAAATGACCTGGCCAAGGTCACCCGGCTCATAGGAGGCTGCAGCCACACAGGTATCAGTGCTGAGGCCATTGACGGTGGACTTGCTAAGGTCCTTCAGCCACAGAACCAGGATGGAACCTGAACCCAGGCTTCCAGGTCCTAGACCAGTGCCCTAGCCTGCAGTGGGCCCCAAGTCTTAGGAGAACTCTATCCCCTCTAAAGGGGGTACTCTAAGTGGTTCTCCAACATAGATCCTTAGACAGTATTCATCCATGACAAAGTTCTCACCCAGCCACCATGAAATAAGAAAAACTAGGCCAGGAGTGGTAGCTCACACCTGTAACCTCAGCACTTTGGGAGGCTGAGGCAGGTGGATCACGAGGTCAGGAGTTCAAGACCAGCCTGGCCAACATGGTGAAACCTTGTCTCTACTAAAAATACACAAATTGGCTGGGTGTGGTGGCTAGTCCCTGTAGTCTTAGCTACTAGGGAGGCTGAGGCAGGAGAATCACTAGAACCTGGGAGGTGGAGGTTGCAGTGAGCCAAGATTGCGCCACCGCACTCCAGGCTGAGTGACAGAGCGAGACTCTGTCTCGAAAAGAAAAGAAAAAGTACAATAGTGAGTTGTGCATGAAATCTTATTTAATATCAAGGCCTGCACTTGACTCTGAGATCATGGCCTGCCCAACTTTTTGTGTATTACAGTGACCTCTGAGTTCTGGGATGATGTGGATAAAACATAGTAGTCTTGGAAAACTGGTCAGTCCCCAGAGTGAGCCTGGGATCCGCTGCTCTGACTAGGAAGGAGGAGATTTACCTGGTGCGTGCGCCTTCTCTAGTTCTTTAATTCGCGCTCGAAGTTCAGATAAGGCCTTTTTCTGACGCTGAATGACCTCCTCGTGCCGGGACCCTTTGCACTTGACCCCTAGATCGCTGAAGGATTGCTCCTGTGGGCAGAATGGGGTGGGCAGCAGTTGATCAGGGATTGGAAGATTTCTCTTACATTCACAGAAACGTGAACAATTCACGTATAGCAGAACCCAGTCTCTTAGCACCTTTGGAAAAAGAGCATTCGGGCTTCCGCAGAGGTAGAATTCACATTTTCCATCTCAAATATCGGGTCACACGTAGGAAGACCTCCAACTTTCCTATTTAGCATCACTATAAATAAAAGAGCCCCTCCACGTTCCCTCTCCACGTTTCATTTTTTCTTCTCATACTGTTCTATGCCTGGATTTCCATTTGCTGTCATGCTGGTCTTGTTTCTGAACAATCACAGCAAATTCTACTCCTGGAGGGGCATTTTCAGATGAGAACGCAAGATGCTTTCTTTTAACTGGTGATAAGGATGATTATTTAATATTTGCTAGGGGGATTTGATAGACTGGCTCTTGGTTGGGCTGGAGAAAGGAAAACCTTCCTCTGAGACTTTGGAGCCTCTGCAACAGCACTGTCCCACAGAACTCCCTGTGGTGAAGGGAATGTTTTATACCTGCACCGGCACTGTCCAATATGGTAGCCACTAGACCCAGATGGACCATCCTAAACAGCTCAGGTTAGAGTTGCAGTTTTGTGTGTGTGTGTGTGTGTGTGTTTGATGTTGTTTTGTTTTGTTTTTGGAGATAAGGTGTCCCTTGCCCTGTTGCCCAGGCCTGGAATGCAGATGGCGCATGATCATGGCTCACTGTAGCCTCTACTCTGGGCTCACAAGTGATCCTATACTTTTTTTTTTTTTTCTTACCAGTTTCTGTAGGCTGGAACCACAGATGTGTGCACCTGCCCGACTAATTTTCCTGTATTTTTTTGTATGAAGACAGGATGTCACTTTGTTGCCCATGCTGGTCTCAAACTCTTGAGCTCAGCAATCCTTCTGCTTCAAGCCTTCCAAAGGTGCTGGGATTCACAGGCATGAGCCACTGTAACCAGCCTATCAGTTGGGTTTACTAAGGGCACAGACAAAGAAAAGTCTTTTTCACCTTTTTTTTTTTTTTTTTTTTTTTGTACGGTGTGTGTGTGTGTTGCTCTGTCACCTAGGCTGGAGTGGCAATGGCACAATCTCAGCTCACTGCAACTTCTGCCTCCCAGGTTCAAGCGATTCTCCTGCCTCAGCCCCCTGAGTAGCAGGGATTACAGGTGCATGCCACCACGCTCAGCTAATTTTTTTTGTGTATTTTTTAGTAGAGACAAGGTTTTACCATGTTGGCCCAGGCTGGTCTCAAACTCCTGACCTTGTGATCCGCCTCCCTTGCGGCCTCCCAGAGTGCTGGGATTACAGGTGTGAGCCACCGCACCCCAGCCGTCTTTTTCATCTTTTAAGGGTCATGTACCCTTTTAAGATTTGGAAGCATGCAGGTTTTTCCCTTCCAGAAAAATTCGCGAGCGACACAAATATTTGCATACAACACTTCCAGAGGGTCAAGACCTCCTGAAGTCCATTCATAAACTCTGTAGCTAACCAACGGCTTCTCCAGGGTAAGCAAGGTCATTCGTTCATCCTCCATCGATTTATTGTGGCCAAGCCTTGTTCTAGGCTCTGGGGATTCAACAGTGGGCTAAACCCAGCAACATCCCTGTTGTCATAGATTCTGCATCCCCTCGTGTGGGCAGACAGACAAGGTGAAAGTATCTGGTAGAAGTTATAAATGGTAAAGAGAAAATTAAGTGGGTAAACAGGGTGGGGTGTTGGGAACAGGTTTCAGTGGCAGATAGAGTTGCCAGGGAAGGCTTCAGTCAAACTGGCAAGAAAGAGAAAAAATTGACAATCTGGCTCTTTTATAATACTTTTTAAAGTAACAGTTTTGGTTCACTTCATGCATATACATATACATATATAGATAGCTATAGATATAGAAGATAATATATATGTAGTATGAAGTGAACCAAAATTATTTTAAAAGTTGCCTATCCATCTATCTATTGAATGGTAGCAATGGCTGCATGCCAGACACTGTTCTAGGCACTGGGGCGAGATCAGGGAGTGGGCAGACCAGCCCTTGCTGCTGTGGGTGCGTTTCTATGGGGCAGACAGGTAACAGGCAGACAGGCGCACAAATACTCTAATTTCGGAGAGTGATAAGTGCTCCCAGGAAAAGAATGCAGAGGAGAGCAAAGGAGACATCTCTTTGTTCTTCCTCCTTTGATGGTTTGAATGCTTATCAGAGGCCTGTATGACACATCCCTGGCCCTGCACTAGCCACACTGCCACCAGGGGAACAGGGCCCATGGCCTCCTACAAGGGGCTCAACAGTGCTGTCTGAGGCCCTCCTGGGACGGCCCCCTACCCCCACCCCCATGTCCCTACCTCTCGTTCCCTCCCTTCCTTCTGGCTCTGCTCCAGGTCTCCTCCAGCACAGGCCTCCCTGACCACCCCCTCCCCCAGGTCAATCTGTTCCGAATCCTGCTGCACAGTTTCTCAGAGCGCTTCTTCCCACTGGACATTTTACTTGATCTTGGCTTGTTTATTTCTGTGTCTCTCCTCCCAGATGACAGGCTCCGTGAGAGCAGTCTTTATCTCCTTTGAAGACTGTGCTATTTCCAGGGCCCAGCACTGTGTCTGAGCACAGTAGGTACTCAGTAAATATGCAGCGTGTCAGAAACAGAAGCTGTAAGGAGCTTGCCCTGGCTTTCCAGCTGGGACCAGGGCTCAGCAGCTGGGAGAGAGACGCAGGCCACCCTGGCTGTGCTTAGTAGGGCCTCGCTTGTCCTCGGACCCTGGCTCCACCCTGCTCACAGGATGCATGGCTGGTTCCCTTGCGGGGCTGGCTCTACACTGGCCTCGGTCACCTCTTGAGGATGCATGTTTGCCCTGAGAGTAAACAACCTGGAATGTTCTCCCTCTCTCTCTGTCTCTCTGTGTATAGCAGGGGGCAGGAGATACTGTATTTTGGAGGTGTAGGGGTAGCCACGCATTGAGGCTGCCTCACAGCCTGTGCTAGCCTGAAGGGGTACCAGGAACGTCACATGACCCCTCCTTGCGGCTCTTCTGGGAATTTATTTATTTGGAGAGGATGAAATTCTTTCTCATACAACTCTTAAGCCCTCTGACCCACTCTGGCTTAGAAAGCAGGAAGGAGCCCGAGGGAGGAAAACCATTCCAAGAAGGAACAAATACATTTTCCCTTTTATCTTGCAGTTTCCCTCCCCCATCCTCCTCCACTAATCCCTCCATATAATATAAACTAAAAATCAAGGGCATCCCAGTTCAACAATCCAGTCCAACAGACGTGCACAGAGTCCAAGGGCGTTTGGTGTGGGCGGGAGCCGGTGCGTCTTCTCCTATCCCTGGCATAGGGCCTGGCACACCGCAGGTGCTCAATAGTTGTTGAACAAGTGAATGAATATGGGTCAGGTTCTGCTAAGAGCCTGGGATTCCAACAGGAGTGCCACACACCCCCTGCCCCACGGAGCTTACGGCCACGTGGACCTGCTGCAGCCCCCGCCTTCCTGGTCACCCTGAGCAATCAGGAGACACTTCTGTTAAAGTGCTCTGGACAGCAATCGATGCCAAGGACAGCTGGCTGGACCTCGAGCCCTTTCGTTCAAGCTGTTTGCGGCCCTGGCTCAACGCTGTCTGGCAGGGGAAAGGCATCTTTGAGAAAGCCGGAAAGCAAGCTGACACATTTGGCCTGGCTTCCCAGTGAAAATCCAAAGCCCATTACTGGAACGTCATGCTCTCTAGGTTCAAAACGCCCCAGGGGAAGAAGAGCCCCAGGCTCCAGGAAACCAGGGCCTTGAGGAACCACTGAGTCTCACGATTGCATGCTGCGGACCGTGGGGAGTATCACAGCCCCAGCCGTAGGGACAGAGTGTGAGTGCCTGCTTCTAGGACGGCCCAAGGAAGGCTGTTCTCACTCAAAGACACACTCCCATCAGATGCTTCTGGGCAGGTGCATAGAACAGCTACCAAGACACAGCCACAGAGCACTCCCTACGTGGCTCTTTGGGAGGGCAGTTTGGCTCCAACAATCACAATTCAGGAAGAACAAGTACATTAACTACAGCATTGCACAAGAGGAGAAGCAATGGAAGTGTCCATCAAGAGGGGACTGGTTGGAAAGAAGAAACAATGAGATTCTACACAACCATTTAAAAGGGTGAGGCAGATCTTCATATACTTGCAAAGATGCCCATTAAATAGTGGTATGTAAAACTAAACCCATGTTGCAGAATGTACGTGGTTTGACACCATTAGTAAAAAAATTATCTACTAAACAAATATCTATATGGGCCAGGCGTGGTGGTTCACACTTGTAATCCCAGGACTTTGGGAAGCTGAGGCAGGTGGATCTCTGGAGTCTGGGAATTCCAAGACCAGCCTGGGTAATGTGGTGAAACCTCATCTGTACTAAAAATACAAAAATTCGTCAGGTGTGGTAGCATGTGTCTGTAGTCCCAGCTACTAGGGAGGCTGAGGCAGGAGGATCATTTGAACCTTGGGAAGTTGAGGCTGCAGTGAAGTTGTGATGGCACCCCTACACTGCAGCCTGGGTGACAGAGTGAGACCTTGCCCCGGAATAAATGAATGAATGAATAAATATATGTATGGGTTTGTGTGTGTTTGTTCAGGTGTGTATATACATAAAATGTATTTCTCAGCCAACCCATAAGGTGGGGATGGTCATTACTGTCAGAACAGGGAACTGGTGCACAGTGACCTCCCCAAGGTCACAACAGAGTTTCTAAGTGGAGGAGCTGGGATTCAAACGCGAATCTATGCCTGATCTTCAGCCACTACACTTTCTTGACCGTGTCAGAACGTGGAGGCCTCTATGAGGGAAAGATCTCATGGCATGCACATCACACTGTGGACAGCTGTGCTCTGGTGACTACGACTGAAGAGGCAGGATTCTGCGACTTACTTTATACGTTTCACACAAGCAAGTCATATTTTCGGAACTTAGAATGAAAATATCTTCAAAAGGAAAGAAAGCCACCACTGGGCCGTGTCTTAGCACATCCTTCCGGGTGCCCAGGAGTTGCTGGCACTCACCTCTTGGCTGCTGGAGAAGGCCTCAGTGTGGACGGGTTCTATCTGCACAGAGGTGTCACACGTCTGGGTCTTCTTCCGGGACTTCTGTTCCTTCTCTGTGTTCAGCTGGAGTCTGTGTTTCTCCTGGGACGCCCTGGGGTAGAGAAGAAGAGGATAGCACGAGGTTCCAGGAACCACAAATGACTTTTGCAGTCACTGGAAGACCAGGAAATGGAGCTCTATTTTTACAGGAAACACAATTCTTTTGAGACTTCAGTTTCCTGCTCCCAGATTTCTAGAGAATTCAGTTTCAGGGGACTTATGGGAGAGTGACCAGGGCAGGGAGCACCTGCCCTTGGTTCCTATACTGGGGCTGAGGACACCTGCTATGGTTTTACAGGGACATTTGCTGCATGTCTGCTGTTTCTAACACTTTATGTGTGTCTAACCCTTCTACCTCTCATAACAATCCCACAAGTTAGGTCCTCTGCTTGTCCCATTTTACAGACAAGTAAACAGACGCACAGCAATCTGCCAGTAGTCACCTTGCTTGTAAATGGATGGTCTGGCTATTTTTTTTTTTTTTTGGATGGAGTTTTGTTCTTGTTCTCCCACCCAGGCTGGAGCGCAATGGTGCGATCTCCACTCACTGCAACCTCCGCCTCCCAGGTTCAAGCAATTCTTCTGCCTCAGCCTCCCAAATAGCTGGGACAGGCATGCACCACCACGCCCAGCTAATTTTGTATTTTTAGTAGAGACAGGGTTTCACTATATGTTGGCCAGGCTAGTCTCAAACTCCTGACCTCGGGTGATTTGCCCGCCTTAGCCTCCAAAAGTGCTGAGATTACAGGCGTGAGCCACCGGGCCCGGTCTAGGGTCTGGCTTTGAAACCAGGCAGCCAGGTGTGGAGTCTGCTCCTTTAGCCACTATGTGAATCTGCTTTGGCCACAAGGCACACAAAGCTACCAGATATCCACGAAACATCAATTTCAGTCAAACTCTTTTTTTATGAAAACATGACTCATTCTAAAATATGGATAAGCTGCGGGTAAAAATGCAACTCACGGATGTTTTTAAAGATGAACCCAGGGGACGATGACAATATTTTGTATGTATTTTAAGCTGACACCTCCAGTTTATTCATTTGTTAAATAAATATTAAGTTCCCTTATGTGCTGGGCTGGGAAATCAATAGTGGGCAAGGTTTACACAGACCCTGTCCTCGTGGGAAGGGCAGACAATAAACAGGCAATGGGGCCGGGCGCGGTGGCTCACGCCTGTAATCCCAGCACTTTGGGAGGCCGAGGTGGGTGGATTGCTTGAGGTCAGGAGTTCAAGACCAGCCTGGCCAACATGGTGAAACTCCATCTCTACCAACAATACAAAAAATTAGCCAGGTGTGGTGGCTCATGCCTGTAATCCCAGCTACTCCAGAGGCTGAGGCACAAGAATGGCTTGAACCTGGGAGGCAGAGGTTGCAGTGAGACAAGATTTCTCCACTGCACTCCAGCCTGGGCAACAGAGCGAGTGAGACTCCATCTCAAAAAAACAAACAACAACAAAACAGGCAAAGGTAGCCTTGCTGTGTGCTAAGTGGTAGGTTAGACAGAGTGCAGGGGCTGAGGGAGACCAAGCATGGCAGGATCCCTTGGCTATGTTTGGTGAGGGTGAGTGAGGGAGGGCTTCCTGGAGGAGGTGGCATTTAAGCAGAGACCTGTCATCTGGAATATTGGACAAGGAAGTTTGAGAAGCACAGAATAAGCAAAACCATGAAACACATATCATTCATTCATTCAACTCCTCAAGCAGCATGTACTGAGCCCTCTCTCTATGCAAGACTCAGGGGCTCCCTATGCCAGGTGAACTATCCCCCCCTCCCCCGCCCACCCAACCTGAGTGCCTCCTTGAGGGCCTTCAGCTCCCGGTCTTTCTTTTCCACCAGACTGCTCATCTGGGCCATCTTCTCCTTGAGCACACTCAGCTCCTTGCTTTGCTGCTGGACCAGCGCCACGTTCCGTTCCAGTTCCATCTTCTGCTTCTCGTTTAGCTCCCCTGGGAGTGACAGGAGGGCCGGTAAGGGGGTCTCTGCCTCCAGGGTTCAAGTGATTCTCCTGCCTCAGCCTCCTGAGTAGGTGGAATTTCAGGCGTGCGCCACCACGCCTGGCTACTTTTTTGTGTTTTTAGTAGAGACAGGGTTTCACCATGTTGGCCAGGCTGGTCTCAAACTCCTGACCTCAGGTGATTCACCCGCCTCGGTCTCCCAAAGTGCTGGGACTACAGGCATAAAGTAGCTATTATTAGCATCCTCACTTCACAGATGCAGAAACTGAGGCTCAAGGAGGTAAGGGACTTACCTGAGGTCATGCAACTAAGAGTGAGCAGATATAGAATTGGGCCCGACATCTCCAGAGAACTGGGCATTGTAGCCTGTACCCCACACTTTCTCATACCTTATTACAAAAAACCTCAGCCATAAATGTCTTGGGGTATTAACAGGAACAGCTACAGGGAGCGAATACCCTGTAGGGTTTGGGATGGAGACAAGATAGGAGCATTCTTTTCCCTTCCTCCACTTCCCCAGGCTTAGTTCCATCTCCCAGCTCCTGCCTGTCTATCCATGCCCTTCAGCTCAGGGAGAGGAGACATGGGAAAGAGAGGCTGCTATCAGATGCAAGAAGGAGGGAGGCAGAAGTAAAAGCACAGAGATAAGGAGGAACAAAGCAGGAATATGAAGGCAGCATTGTCTGTGTCTGTCCGGAACAGCACAGAACTCAGTTATTTTGCCCCTACTCTAGGGGCCACTGATGCCCATGTTAACCCTAGGAAGAAGGCGTGTTGTCCCTACTTGGCATCTGAGGAAGAGAAGGCCTGGAGAGCCCCCTTGTCCTAGGTCCCAAAGCTAGTGAGTGCTGGGGCTTGTGCAAACTGGCCTGCCGCAGGAAGACCCCAGGATTGCCCTCCAGGCCTTTGCTTCCGGAAGCAAATCTGTGCTAAAGGAAAATTCTCCCTGAAGAAGAAAGTTGCATTTCAGTGCAGAGGTCCAAAGTCCTGTGGAGAATGTGCCCTGTGCCCCTTGGCATTGAGTCAGGGACTCAGTGGGGGGTGGGAATCAGGGACATATCCAGAATACGACTTTTGCTGACCCTGAGTTACAGATGCTGGGACAACACAGGGAAGCAGGGTTGTTTATGCCAAGGTTTCCAACTCTTTTTTTTTTGGGATAGAGTCTCACTCTGTCGCTCAGGCTGGAGTGCAGTGGTGTGATCTGGGCTCACTGCAAACTCCACCTCCCGGATTCAAGCAATCCTCTGCCTCAGCCTCCTGAGTGGCTGGGATCACAGGCGCCCACCACCACACCTGGCTAATTTTTGTATTTTTAGTAGAGATGGGTTTTCATCATCTTGGCCAGGCTGGTCTTGAACTCCTGACCTTGTGATCCAATTGCCTTGGCCTCCCAAAGGGCTGGGATTACAGGCGTGAGCCACTGCGCCCAGCCAACTCTTAAGCCTCATCTCCTTCCTTTCTCCAGTGGGTCAGGAGGTCAAGAGACACCGGAAATTGTTCAAACCTCTCAAATCCGACATTCTGCTGTGGGCTTCTGTAAGGTCTTTCCTTAACTTCATGATGACCTCCTGCTGAGACAGGATTTCCTTCTGAGCAGCCAATAAGTCATCTCTGAAATTCACAAAAACAGGTGAAGTCAGTTCAACTCAAACTCCACATTGTCTCCTAAGTGTCAGGAAGGGGCCAAGTACAAATGCAAACAGATTCTCAATCATGGTCCATGCGATGCCAGTCCCAGCAAAGGATGAGGACAGTCTTCAAAAACTCTAAAACAAAAATGACTTTTTTGTTGCACCTTCATTTAAGAAAATAGATGGAGGCCAGGCACTGGGTACATGCCTGTAATCCCAGCACTTTGGGAGGCCAAGGCTGGAGGATCACTGGAGCCCAGGAGTTCGGGACCAGCCTGTGCAACAGAAATCAGAACCCCATCTCTACAAAAAATAAATTAAAAAAAAATTAGCCAGGCATAGTGGTGTGTGGCTGTTGTCCCAGCTACTCGGGAGGCGGAGGTGGGAAGGTTGCTTGAGCATAGGAGTTGAAGGCTGCACTCCAGCCTGGGTGGCAGAGCAAGACCCCGTCTCTAAGAAAAAAAAAGAAATAAAGAAAAAAGAAAATCCACTGAGACAGAACACAAGATCTGGCTGAGTTGAGTCTGAGGCTCGAACATGCCTTGCATGAGACTGATACCCACTACCCAGCATCATGACTTGATGTGCCTGTGGACTTCTGATGGTGGAGGGAGAGGGGAAAACTATTTGGGGGAGGTTCAGGGATTCTTTGGGGACAGGGAAGAAAAAAGAGAGGAAGACAATGTGGCTCTGTTCTCTCAGCAGCTCCTTTGAATTCCTGGTGGAGGGAGGCGGGGCCAGATGTGAATGAATGGTGTTCTTGGGGGAGCTGGTAGAAGTGTGGCCTCGGCGCCCAGGCAACAGGGGGACAGTGATGGTGACAGGACAGCTCCCCCTCCCACACCCCTGGAGGGCAGCACACCTTTGGCACCCTGAGACTCAGGATGGCTGATGGGAGGGTGGCTGCGCCCAGTGGAGGGGTGAAGGGTGCCCAGCAGGAACAGCAGGGGAGGCGCCTTGGGTGGGGATTTGACAGGAAGAACACAGGGTGCATGCCTCAGCAAGTTGAGAAACTGCAGCCTGGCGGAGACAGGTCTTGTGTGTGTTGCAAGGAGTAGGTCTTGCCCTTTTGGAAGGGGGTTGGGAGCCTTAGTCTTTGGGCAGGTATTAATGCCACTTCATTTGAGTTCACAGGCTTTTGAAATCCAGGCTCTTCTTATAAAGACTTTATTTTTTATTTATTTTTATTTTTTTGAGACGGAGTCTTGCTCTGTTGCCCAGGCTGGAGTGCAGTGGTGTGATTTCAGCTCACTGCAACCTTCACCTCCTGGGTTCAAGCGATTCTCCTGCCTCAGTCTCCCAAGTAGCTGAGACTACAGGTGTCTGCCATCATGCCTGGCTCATTTTTGTATTTTTAGTAGAGACGGGGTTTCACCATGTTGGCCAGGCTGGTCTCAAACTCCTGACTTCAGGTGATCCACCCACCTCGGCCTTCCAAAGTGCTGGGATTACAGGCATGAACCAATGCAGCCAGCCTTATACAGACTTTAGAAGGTACTGCGTTTATTATGAATTAAAGTAAAACACTGGCAGGTTGCATGTCAAATAAAAAAAAAGACTGGTGATCATTAGAATGAACATAACTACATATATATAGTATATTCTGTGTGTGCATGCATCTGTGTGTGTCCACGTGAGCGTGTTCTTGGCTGCAACCACAAATCTTCCAACTCGAGGATAAAACCTCAGAACTCAAGCATGTTCACACGCCAAGGAAGTGGACCAGAGCAGGGCCGGGAGGTGCTGACTCTTCTCCAAGTCACGGGCACCACTGTTTCTAGAGTTTAAACAGGAGGAGGAGTCAGGAACTTTTCACAATGCGGAGGCTGGGTATCCTTGTCTTTTTGGGGTAAAATCCCTGTGACATTAGACTTCAGTCACTAGGATTTGGTGCAAGGATCGGGCAGGTGGTTGTCCTCTTGGGGGAGCTTCTGAATCCCTACGCTGCATCCCATCGGCACCTCCTTCATTATGTGCTGTTTTCTGGATCTTTCCCATTCATACGTTTGTTTCTCTGAAAACTATCAGTTCTTCGAGGATAGACTTCTTTATAGACTCACTGGCTCTCAGAGTCAGGAGGGTTGAAATCATTTATTTGAGGTCATTTAGCCAACTTTTTAACTTCTCACCTTTGTAGGGCCCCGCCCCACCAAGTGGTCTCCACTGTTTGAAATCTCTGTCTGCTTAATAACACCTATGAATGGGCTTGCCTCTAGCTGATCCTCGGGAAAAATAGCTAATAGCAGTATTAGCTAGATTTCCCAAGCACTAGGCATGTAGTCTTACTTCACAGACGTGGAAGCTAAGGCTCAGTGAGGTGGCGTGACTTGCCCAGGGTCACACAGCTGGAAAGTGTCAAGTTGGAATCTGCTATGTTTTGAATGTTCGTCTCCTCCAAATCTCAAGTTGAAACTTAACCCCCATGGTGGCAGTATTGAGAGGTGGGGCCTTTATAAAGTGATTGGGTCATGAAGGTACAACTATGGATTAATGGGTTTGTGGGCTACTGGGTTAGTGGATTAATGGATTATCATGGTAGTGAGGCTGTGGATTTATAAAAAGAGTCAGGGAGACCTGAGTTAGCACACTCAGCCCCTGGACATGTGATACCCTGCACCACTCCCAGACTCTGCAGAGTCCCCAACAGCAAGAAGGCCCTGACCAGATGCAGCCCCTCAACCTGGGACTTCTCAGGCTCCAAAACTGTAGGAAATGAATCTCTTTTCTTTATAAATTACCCAGTTTTGGGTATTCTGTTATAAACAGCAGAAAACAGGCTGAGGGATCTGAATGTAGATCCATCTAAATCTTTCCACGACATTGCCCTGCCTTGCTGAAGGAATGGGGAAGTGGAAGCAGCACTGGGAAGGCAGCAGGCCCAGCTCCTTGTGTGGCTTCTGACAGTGTGGCCCAGGTAGGGGCTGGTTGCCTGTTTGCCCCCGCCCAGGTGGTGCCGGTGAGAATGCCTGGCGCTCACGCACCCGCGGGTACTCACATCAGGTGTTCATACGCCATGTCTTTGGCACTGCTGTCCGTCGTGGGAGCCACCAGAGGGTCTTGCGGCCTTTCCTCCTTTTGGGCTGTATCGGAGAGACGTGTGATCGTTGTGAGAGGAGGCTGTCCTTCCCCTTTGCTTACAAGCACACCTGGGTCTTTCACAACTTACAAACCCTGCCTCCACCTGCAGCCCTCTCCACCTTGTGAGACCCACATGTGTGCCGTGTCACAGGCTGGGGGCTCTCCCAAAGTGCGTGGCCATGCGATTGTCCCAGCTTCTCTAGAAGGCAGGGGCCATCAAGTCCACTTATAGACATGGAAACGGGCACCGGAGTGATGGAAGCTGCTGGTGACCCACTTGGCTAAGTTGGTGAGCAGTGCAGCCTCAGCCCCTGGTCCCACCGCCTGCCTGTCTCTCTTGGAAGAAGAATCTGTGTTTAGCACCTTCCTCTCCTCACCTCCCATTTACACCTCAGTGCACCGCCTCTGGCGTCCTGTCTCACTACTCAGTCACGTGTTCACTCACTTGTTTATTCCTTCAACAAACATGTGTGGAGTGCACACTGGTCTAAGTACAGGGGTGACAAAGATGCAGTCATCCTTTAGGTCCCAGCTCAATCTCAAACACCTCCCTCTGACCTGGACGTCACCCTTCAGGTCCCAGCTCAATCTCTTTTTTTTTTTTTTGAGACAGTCACGCTTTGTTGCTAGGCTGGAGTGCAGTGGTACGATCTCGGCTCACTGCAACCTCCACCTCCTGGGTTCAAGCAATTCTCCTGTCTCAGCAGCTTGAGTAGCTGGACTACAGGTGCACGCCACCACGCCTGGTTAATTTTTGTATTGGTAGTAGAGACGGGGTTTCACCATGTTGGCCAGGATGGTCTCAATCTCTTGGCCTCGTGATCTGCCAGCCTTGGCCTCTCAAAGTGCTGGGATTACAGGCATGAGTCATTGAACCCAGCCCCAGCTCAACCTCAAACACGCTTCCTCTGACCTGGACTCTGGGTTGGGAAACTGAATCCCACTCTTCGTCCTTGTCATGGTGCCCTATTCATCCTGGATCACCTGTCAGGGCAATAATTTTGTTACCACGGGGACAAAAACTGGCTTGTCCATCACTGGATCCTGAGTGCCTACGGGAGATCGGAACGTAATAGAAGCTCCACCGAGAGAGCTGAATGAGTGAATGAATGAGGGAAGTCCTGACGGCTTGCCGACTTGCTGGGAACTAGAGCCGTGTTTCCTAACCAGGAGTGAGTTTGCCTCTAGGGGACATTGGGCAATGTCTGGAGACATTTTTGGTTGTCACAGCTGGGGTAGGGGTGCCACTGGCAGCTGGTGGGTGGAGGACAGGGAGGCTGCTAACACCCAGTAGTGCCCAGTTCAGTCCCATCCATGAAAAAATGATCCTGCCCCAAATGTCAACAGGGCTGAGGCTGGGATACCCTGGCCTGAGTCCTCTACTTCCAGAACTTTCTCCAAGAGCTTAACAACTTTACAATAATACCTTACCTTGGCCGTTTGGGGCAAATAAGTGCTTACAAGTCTGAGTTCTTTTTTCAGCTTCTTTTGGGTTTATTTTTTAAGGGACAAATCCTGGCTGGTAATGAGTGCATTAGTGAAGATGCAAAAGGCCAATGGCAGAGAGAAGCCTTTGAAAGGCCCCCACACGAGATGTTTTCATGTGGAAAAGATGATTCCACTTCGTGCTGCCCTGACAGCTCTGACAGCCCTGGTAGCCTGTGTGTCTCGCCGGCTCACTGGGTCGGCACAAAGGATGTCCCAACTCATTGCCATGACTTCTGCTGAACCTGGGCCTCGGAGGGCTTCTGACATCGTTGTGTAACAAGAACAAAAGGGGGCCTCAGAGAATGAATGAGCTTTTGAATAAGGCACGGCCTTTTTCTTAACCATCAGCCTGTTGGGACCCAGCGGACAATCAGAACCTACCCCGAACACTAAGATTTCCTTGGTCCCCCTTCGGACTTACCCGGGTCATTGTCCTTCAATGTTGCAATCTCGCCTTCTATTTTTTTATGGTGCTGACTGACTTTCTGGAGTTTCTCTTCGAGGCTCACAATCGTCTGGGAATGCTGTTTGATTTGCTCCTTATATTCCATGATCTCTTCTTCAAATCCATGTCTCTGTGATTCCTGCTCATCCTGGACGGCCTTTACCATCTTCTGCTGCAGGATTAGCCGCTCTTCCATCAAGATCTGGGAACAGAGTGTCACTCAGTGTGGTCTTGGGAGCTGGGTATGACAGCAACCATAATATACACCCTGGGTACACACAGGTGCTAAACTGGGCCCCACCCCAGGGCCTTAGCACGTGCTGTTCCTTCTGCCCTGTACACTTCTTCCACAGCTCCTTTCACGGCCAACTCCTTCTTGACTCTCAGGGCTCAGCTCCAGCGTCACCTCCTCCGAGAGGCCCTCCCTGACCACCTATCAGGAGCAACCCCAGACACTTCCTATTCCAGTGTCTGTTTCATTGTCCCTGAAGCCTTTAATCGTTTGTTTCTCATGCCCTCTAGAATGTAAAATTCGTAACAGCAGAAATGTGTCTGTTTTTACTTACTGCTATGCCCACAGCATTTGATGTTTGATAGATATTTGTGGAATTAATGAATGAACAATTTCATAAGAAAAAGCAAATGAATTTGCCTTTCTTTCTCCTTTCTTTCCTTTTTTTCTCTCTCTCTCTCCTTCCTTCCTTCCTTTTCTTTCTATCTTTTATCTCTCTCTCTCTTTCTTCTTTCTCTTTCTCTCTCTTTCGAGACAGAGTCTTGCTCTGTTACCCAGGTTACAGTGCAGTAGCATGATCTTGGCTTACTGCATCCTCTGCCTCCTGGGTTCAGGGTATTCTCCTGCCTCAGCCTCCCAAGTAGCTGGGACTACAGGCGTGCACCACCACACTCAGCTAATTTTCATATTTTTTTTTTAGTGGAGACGAGGTTTCACCATTTGGCCAGGCTGGTCTCAAACTCCTGACCTCAGATGATCCACCCACCTTGACCCCGAAAGTGCTGAAATTATAGGTGCGAGCCACTGTGCCCAGCCAGAATTTGCATTTCTTAAAAACAAAAAGTTAATGACCCCCAAAAGGCAAATCTGCTGCTTTCCCACATCCAAACACTCCCTCCTGAGGCTCCCCTTGGCGTTTGCATCCCAGCACCTCCTCCTCAATGCCCGCCTGCTACTCCAAACTCACCCTGTCCTGCTCCCTATTCCCAGGTGACGTGCTGGGCCTCGGCCTCTGATCTCCCCATGACAGGTACATTCTTTGCCCGACACATTCACACATGCCTGCTCTTCCAAGGACCCTGCCTAGGAGGCTGCCTTCCAGATTAGGCTCTTGTCTTGCTTTCTCTCCCAAAACTATTGTGTACCCAAAGCTGGGGGGCTTTTGAACTTTGATGCCCTATCCTCGCCTTCCTCCTCTTGTCTCCTCTTCTCCAAAAGAGGGTTGCTCCAAGAGAACACCCCCACCATGACCCCAGACCTCCATACTCCTATCCCTATGTCGTCCTTACGCGATCAGGTCCCCAAGCACCCTGGCCTGAAGCGTGCACTCTCCTTTGGCACTGTGCTCTCCTTGGCGCTCACGTCCTGCCAGCAGTTATCAAGTCCTGCCATCATAACTCTCTCCTGCGACTCCCTCCCTCCCACACCTCCCCCAGCTCCCGCCAAGGTCAGGTCCTTATGATTCTGGTCCACCACGTGCCACACCCAGAGCTGTTCTCTCCAACGCCACACCCTCGTGAAATTTACTTCGTTCTCTTTTGGGAGATTCACCTTCATGACTTCCTTGCTCAGAAACCTGTCGGTTGAGCGTGTGGATGACAGAGTGAATGCACATGGAGCCCTGATTTTGGAGGGCCTCGAATACCGAGCCTATGCTTTAATGCATTGTCTTAAAGCCTGTGGCATCATCACTCATCACGCGGTCCTGAGGCTCTCCAGGCATTCTGATCCTGTGCGGAACCTGCATTACAACATCTCAGAATACCCTGCAGACGGGGCATCCTAGCTCTGTGTACCTTTCATTCTAAACCAACGCTTCTCATTAGGGGGCCATTAAGGGACACTTGGCAATGTCTGAAGACATTTTTGGTGATCATGACTGTGGGGAGAGGGCTCCTGGCATCCGGTGGGTAGAGAACAGGGGTGGTGCTAAATATCCTAAGATGCTCAGGACAGCCCCTCACAGGAAAGTGCTACTTGACCCAGAACATCAGCAGTGCTGAGGCCGAGAAGCCCTGGTCTAAGCCACACATTCTCACGCACTGTAATCTTCTATTGGGAGAAAAATTCTCCCGCTCCTGGAAGGCACCGACTTACCATTTTTGTCTTGGTAGTTTCCAGTTCAGCTAATGTTTCATTTAATTTCAAGGCGAGGCTCTCTGCTTTTAGACTTTCAGTTGCCTTTGTTTTCTGAGTCTCTTCAACCATGGCTAGTGCGTCACTTAATTTATTACTTAAAACATCCTCTTTTTGCTCTTTTAATTCTAATTCCTAGACAAAAAAAAAAACAAATAGCAAAATAACAGACATTCAGGAATACGTATTTACCCAGTCCCCTTCTCCCCAACCTTCAGGGAGGGGGCAAAGTCTATTCTCTAATTATTCTGTCGATTCTTTTAAAGTACAAAGTCTATGCCTTCTCTGGAAGGTTCCAGTTATTATAGAACTCGTCTTCACATTCAGCGGAGATCTGTCTCCTTGTGATTTCTGGTCTCTGAGCTCAGTTCTGTCACCTGGAGCTCGTTGAGAACGTTTTATTTCTCTTTTATGAGACAGCCCTTTAAATATTTGAGGAGGGCTGTCATGTCTATCTCTAAATCTGTTCTCCAAGATGAATGTGCTGAGTCCCTTCTCTCCTTCACTGCAACACCTGCTTCCAGGACACCCCCTTTCCTCCAGGGCTCCGGCGGCCCTGTCCTGGGCATCTCTTATCCCTTATCCTGGAACCCATTCTTTTTTTTTTTTTTTTGAGATGGAGTCTCACATTGTCACCTGGGCTGGAGTGCAATGGTGCTATCTCAGCTCACTGCAACCTCCGCCTCCCGGGTTCAAGCAATTCACCTGCTTCAGCCTCCCAAGTAGCTGGGACTACAGGCGCATGCCACCACACCCAGCTAATTTTTGTATTTTCAGTAGAGACGGGGTTTCACCATATTGGCCAGGCTGGTCTCGATCTCTTGACCTCATGATCCACCTGCCTCAGCCTCCCAAAGTGCTGGGATTACAGGCGTGAGCCACCGCACCCACCACCACATGAAAGATTTTCGATCTTTCATAGTCAACATTCTATTCTCTTTGAGTCCCTCCTGCAATAAATGTGAAGTATGGGCTTCTTGAGTGGCACTGTGCTGGGCATCTTATGAACATTATTTAATCCAATTTAAAATATATTCGAAGTACTAGGCATTCTTAAACTCTGTTGGTGGAGGTGCAAACTGCTGTGACTTTTCTAGACACTTATTCAGGAATGTGTATTATGAGCCTGAAAATGTGCAAGTCCTGTGACTCAGCATCTCCACTTTAGGGAGTTTTTCCTAAGGACGTAAAGACTGATGCACAGGGTGGGTTAGCTGGGCATCTGCTGCACTAGTGAAGAGTGAGAAACCAACCCAGGGGAGAAGAAAAGAAGTTGGGATCCATCCAGCACAGTGCAAACCTGGGTCACAGAAGATTGTTTGATGACACTGAGACATTCTATGCAAAATGAAATCATTCAAACTTTTTTTTTTTTTTTTCCTGAGACGGAGTCTCACTCTGTTGCCCAGGCTGGAGTGCAGTGGCGATCTTGGCTCACTGCAACCTCCGCCACCCAGGTTCAAGTGATTCTTCTGCCTCAACATCCCAAATAGCCAGGATTACAGGCACCCACCACCACACCTGGCTAATTTTTGTATTTTTAGCAGAGATGGGGTTTTGCCATGTTGGCCAGGCTGGTCTTGAACTCCTGACCTCAGGTGATCTTCCCACCTTGACCTCCCAAAGTGCTGGGATTACAGGCGTGAGTCACTGTGAATGGCCAAAATCATTCAAACTTAAAGCGGTTGAAACCTTACATTATTTTGAGACTCGAGAGGAATGTGGCTGTGGGGCCTGGGTCACGTAGCACGCACCTGCAACTTCTGTTCTTTTCTGTAAATGAGTGGGAAAGCCCTGGCAGCGCCAGAGATAAGACTCCTTCAGATGATCACCCCTCATCCTGGAACATTAAAGCAATTTTCCCAGGAATGTAGCAAGCTGTGACCAACCAAAGGGCTATAACCGCATGTGCTGACCTTGTGTGGAAGACGTTGCGATCCTGTTAACTGCCTATCAAAGTGAAATTTTCACCTCCCTGCTTTGGAATGCTGACTCATTCTTTTGAAGTCTGTTTTTTGGGTTGCCGTCCTCAAGCTTTGAGCTCAAATAAACTCTATGCTTAGAGAATCTCATTATTTAAGGTTGACACGTCGTATGTTAAATATCAAAAATAGCATCCAAAGCACTGTGCACAGTGTCACAGTGTAAATCACTAACTTGGTCATAAATCGGTATTTATCGATGTCGACGCTGAGGTTCAACACAAAGGCGGCACATCAAAATGTCGACAGTGGCAACTGTGCTCAGTGGACTCTGTTAGTTATTATTTTCTTTGGAGTGATTTTCTGGTTTTTTTTTTCAAGTTTTCTAGAATGACAGGTGTCTTGTTGTTGTTGTTTTTTTTAATAATCAGGAAAGAAAACACTTTTTTTTGAAAATATGAAATCCCTATACCATTTTCATCATGTTATTCCTGCAAGCCTCTCCTGGGAGTTGCTGCATCCTCTGCGTACCTCCGCTTAACTCCGTCTGATTCTTTTTCAGGGTCTTAACCTTGCTGTTACTGTTGGGATATTCCACGGAGGACCTCATGCGGACCTGGCCTATGGAGGTGCTCACTGGAGACACTGGCAGGCATCCCATGGAGTAGCTTGCCACGTACAGCTCAGCGACACGCCCCAGGTGTCCCAAATAATCCACAACAAACTGAAATTGTTTCTTTGAAGAGCTGCGAAGCTGCCCTGCTTATCAGTAGATCACGCGGCCTGCCATCTTTGTCCCTGCCGGCTGCTCAGCAGCTTGTCCCAAGCAGAGGAGAACAAAGTCTACTGGTCCCATGCATTTGACATTCCTTTCTTTTCTCCTCTCTCCCTTTTCCATTTTGCCTATATAGATGAGATCAATCTTTGATTGCTCTTCTGAGTGTACAAATAAAATAATGTGCAAACACACAACTCTCTGCCTGACTCGTATTTCTTTCGATTTTCCTGGTAAATGGTGAATCCCTGGGCTGGGTCCTGTTCTTGCTTGTCTAGGGTAATGTCACCTGTCTACTTTGAGGGCTGCCATGAGACCTCATTTTTTTTTTTTTTTTTCACTCTATTGCCCAGGCTGGAGTGCAATGGCATGATCTTGGCTCACTGCAACCTCCCGGGTTCAAGTGATTCTCCTGCCTCAGCCTCAGTAGCTAGGATTACGGGCATGCGCCACCATGCCTGGCTAATTTTTGTATTTTCAGTAGAGATGGGGTTTCACCATGTTGGTCAGGCTGGGCTTGAACTCCTGATCTCAGGTGATCCACCCACCTTGGCCTCCCAAAGTACTGGGATTACAGGCATGAGCCACTGCGCCTGGCCAAGACCCTACCTTCTGATGTTACTGTTCTAAGGATATTGTTGAGAAGGTTGCTTGTTGCAGAATCCTCTACGTAATGACCCGTAGGAGAGATTCTCTCTGGTCTAGTACCAAGAATGGTCATATTTCCACGAGCAGTTGGTCCATTTTTGTCTAGCAAATTGTACAACCAGCTGGGATTTCCCTTGCACTGTAACTGCTAGAGGAAAAATTGTGACTCATTCATTGATTTCATGATACACTTTTTTTTTTTTTTTCATTAGTCTCATTCCGGATCCCTTTTACGTCCCGACTTACCTACTTTTAAAACTTTAACCTCGCCTTTTTGCCTACCCATAGTGTGTTTCATGGAGGATCCATGGTACATCGTTTGGGGGACACGGCTGCTTGGGAAGAGGCTGCCTTTCTCGGGCTCTCCCACAGCCTGCAGCATGTGCCTCCCTGCAGGGGTCCTCTGTGACCGTGACAGCCCTGGGCTGACAAGTCCTGCATCACTTCACCCAACTCTCGTCTGCCTTCTCTGGACACATGCCAGTTACTCCAGGTCCCTCCTTGAAGACTGGTGTCCAGGGCTGACGTGCAATGCAGATGTGTCTTCCTGACTAGTCTCCCTAGAGCAGCCTTGTTTAAAGTGCATCAGCGCCACTTGGGCTGCTTACGAAACATGCAGCTTCCTGAGTCTGTCCTCCACCCAGGGGGTCAGAACTTCTTGGGGTGGGGTCCAAGAAACAGGCATTTAAAAATAAATTCCCCAGAGATCCAAATGCATGCTAATGTTTGCAAATCTTTCTTTGAAGAAAATGATCCAAGGTTGATGTGAATAGAGACCTTTTTAGTCCTAGCTGGTCCCGAAAATCCTTTGAAGTCATAGTCACCTATATTTAAATTTAACCCATCATTGCCAGGTTGCATGTTTCTTAACTGGGCTTTCACTTTGACATATTGGTAATTGTGTGTGTATGTGTTTTGTACTGCTGGGACCCAGGAGAAGCTAATTATGCCCTACTGCTTATATACCCAAGACAGGGTCAGGTGCGAAATCCACTTCTATTCCTACTATGTTTACAATTCTCAGTGATAACAGTAAATGCATTTTGATTATGAAGGTGATGATAACTATGACAACAAGCTCTGCTTGGAAAACTGATATCGGCCTGATCAGAAACCTAGGTGTCCATATCCTTACATCTCCTCTCTTTTTTTTTTTTTTGAGAGGGAGTCTTGCTCTGTCACCCAGGCTGGAGTGCAATGGCGCAATCTCAGCTCACTGCAACCTCCACCTCCCGGGTTCGAGCGATTCTCCTGCCTCAGCCTCCTCAGTAGCTGGGATTACAGGTGCGTGCTACCACACCCAGCTAATTTTTGCATTTTTAGTAGAGATGGGGTTTTACCATGTTGGCCAGGCTGGTCTCGAACTCTTGACCTCAGGTGATCTGCCTGCTTCGGCCTCCCAAAATGCTGGGATTACATGTGTGAGCACCTGCGCGCTGCCAACATCTCCTCTCTCAAGCTAAGCAGCTGAGCCCAAAGCTGAAGTGCAGTAGAGAGGGAGGGGTGAAGATTTAGGGTTGGGGAGTCAGCCAGTCCGGGCTTTGGATCCTGTCCCTCCACTTCCCAGTCATGAGTTTGCCATGCTAACACAGGCAGCTGACACATGTATGTGGAATGCTGAGTGCCTCTCCGTGTGTTCTGTGGGTATAACAGCAGTCATGTCTCACAACAACTCAAGGAGATTGATCCGTATGTATTAGGTGTATTTCATAAGTGGGGAAACTAAGGCACAGAGATGTTAGGGTTCTTGCCTGAAGTTCCACAGCCAGCCATGGAGAGAGGTAGGATCTGAACCCAGAGCCTGGCTCTAGCGCACTGCCCTTCGCCGTGCTGGGCCCCTCTTGTCTCTCCCTCCCTGCGGCTCATACCTCTTTCTGCTTGGTTAAGCGATTCTCCAGGTCTTGCACCTTTTTCTTTTCCTTCTCCATGGCCTCCTTTGCTTTGCGTTTCTCGTAGGCAATGCTGCTCTCTGAGACCTGGAAGTCAATGAAAGTGGTTTGAGGGCCTGTGCCTCAAAGGGAAATGACACCGAAAAGGGAAACCAGGACAAGTCACCGTGGAAGCCACCAAGTCAGGGTTGGAGAGAAAGATCTCAAGGAACAAAGCACCCACTGGGGACAGAGGTGAGAACCCGGGAGCCCTATCTTAAGTCATGTGTGTAAAGGAGTGAGTGAGCCATCATTCAAGATTTCAGGGCAGGTGTTCAGGAAGTGACATGCTGGTGAGTGGTTGGGTCCTGGTATTTGGCGCTGAGTCACTGAATAAACTGGCATGTGCTGGCACCGATGCTGGCCTTTGTTGGAAGTACCTGGCTCTTTGGGAGGTGGGGCAGGACAGACAGTGCTGGGGAGGTGCCTTCTGTCTCTGTAGACCCATGTCAATGGCTCCAAAGGAGGACCGAGGCAGCCACTTCCAGTCTACAAAGGCATGGGTTCCCAAAATTCCTGTCTAGGTCAGTTTGTAGCTGAGAACACAAACGCCATATACCTGGTGACGGGGAGGGAATCGGACGCCCAGACTCACCTGTACATGCCCTGGGAGGTAAACAGCTAGGGAGGGCTTGAAAAACTCTATCTGCAGCTGTTGAAACTCTTGCAATTATACACCACCCCCGCCCCCACCAACATAAAGTTCACAAGAAAAGGATTTTAAATATAGGTGTATATGTACGACAAAAGACCAGAGGAGTATGTACTGAAATGTAAGTGACGGTTATTTGGGGGGAATTGGGATTATGGCAACTTTCATTTTGTTCTTTTCACAGGTCCGTATCTTCTAAATTTTCTTTAATGCACAGGTATTATGGCAAAAAGAAAAATGAATGAAAATTGTTACAGGGCATGCAGTGATAGGAGATGGGAATATCCTAATTCAAGGGACAGTATGAGACTCAAGATGTGTGTGGTCCTGAAGGAAAGACGATGTTCCCAATGTTGCCGGTGTTAACATCACGTGAGTGGCACCCACCCACCCCACCCGGCTCTGCATATCCAACTCCCAGGCCCCCCTACCCGACCACATCTCCCAATGCAGACCTGGCTTTTTCTCACTGTCAAGTCTTCACTTAAGATGGTTCAATCCTTGCCCTGCAGGTCTAAGTCCTGCCCGTCCTACAAGGCCACCCACACCCTTCCGCATGCCCTGTGGTGAGGGCTCTTCCCCTTCTCTTATTATGCACTGCTTGGTGCGTTGCAAATGAAAATAGTGCACAGAATGTGTTAGTGCATCCAATCTGCAAACCCCAGAGAGCATCTATCTGATTATCCCCGTTTCACAAGAAAGGAAATGCAGGCTCCTTTAAGGAGGCAGTATAAAGACAAGCAGTGTTCCAAGGTGTCATCACCAGGAAGCGGTGGTGCAGGCTTAGATGCCAGGGCCCTCGCCTTAACTGCTCGGCCTCTGGGCCCTGATTCAAGCCCTGCCCACTTGGAGGCAGGAGGCTTTTTCTTTTTCTTTTTTCTAATTTTTAAATTTAAGTTTACATTTTTTTTGAGACGGATTCTCACTCTGACACCCAGGCTGGAATACAGTGGCATGATCTCGGCTCTCTTCAACCTCCGCCTCCCAGGTTCAAGTGATTCTCCTGCCTCAGCCTCCCAAGTAGCTGGGACTACAGGCGTGCACCACCAGGCCCGGCTAATTTTTGTATTTTTAGTAGAGACAGGGTTTCACCATGTTGGCTGGGCTGATCTTGAACTCCCAACCTCAAGTGATCTGCCTGTCTCAGCCTCCCAAAGTACTGGGATTACAGGCGTGAGCCACCGCACCTGGCAAGATGAGTTTATATGTTCATAACCAGGCTGGCACAGAGCCCAAGACACTGCCTGGCTGTAGCCTGAGCTTCGGGACCCCATCCCTGGCCCGTATGTATAAGGGAGGCTCTGGGGGTAGCCGTGACCACAGTTTGGGTCCCACCCCTTAGCGTGTCTGTGCTCCCTCTGCCTACCTGGACTCTGACCTCACTTCCCTCATGGGCTTGGCATTGTCCCGCTGCCAAGGGCTTCGCTTCAGGCTGTGCAACCCCCACCCTGCTGTGCCCACTCAACTGCCCACCCCACCTGGACTCTGACCTCACAGGGCAGGTGCATCCCAAGCCATGAATATACTGACTCCTCATATTACACCTCTAGGGCGGTTCTGCCACCACACCCACATGGCAGATGAGGGCACGGAGAGGGCAAGGGGCATGCCCACGGTCACACAGCCTGTTAGGGCAGAGCTGAGATTTGAGCCCAGAATGAACCCTTTAGCCCACCAAGCTCTGCAGTTCCTTCCCCGCCTCTCCCACCTATTTCCTTCCCCTGCGCCCTGGTGCCTCCCATCTTGGGCCAGCTTTGGTTTCATTCCTCACCCAGTCTCCTTCCCAACCCCCCGGACCGCCCCCCACCTCCTGGCAAGCTCAGGTCCTGACCTTCACACCTGTGCCACTTTATCCAGTGGTCCTCTCTGCCCCCAGGCTCCTTTTCCCTTCCAGTTCTCACTGGAATGTCACTTCCTGAGTGGTCCCGCCCTCGGGCACCCTCCAGCCTGCTTTGGCTTTGTGGCCCTGGAGCCGCCCCTGCTTCCGCAGGCTGTCTGTTTCCCTGCCCTAGGATGGAAGCTCTGGGCAGCCTGGCCCTGGTCTGTCTTGCTCACTGCGATGTCCGTGGCACCCAGAACCGGGCCTGGCACATGGTGGGTGGATGAATGAAACTGAGATCAGCAGGTGGATAAATGAGTATTTATGGGTAGATGAATGACACCAAATCAAAGCATTCACTGAGCCATCAGCTCTGTTTCCGGAAGTTCTGTGGGGGCCAGGAGGTGTGTGTCTGTGCCACCTCTGTCCCCAAAGCCCAGCTCATGGAGATGCCATGTGGGTCCCTGAGTGACCTCCTCCTGGCTCCCCGGCTCTTACTTCCAGGGTGTGACCCGGGCATCCGGGCTGACCTGAGGGCCTGCCTCTCATGCTGCTCTGGGCAGGTGTGTCTGGTGGGCCAGGTCCCTAGGTTGGTGGCACTGGGGTGGGTGGATGTGGATGTCTCCAGCTCTGACCCCTCCTTTCCTCCCTGGTGTCATTCTGTCCTGGGGTGCCCATCTGCTTGTCCATTCCAGAAGGCGCTGATTCCTGCGGCTTATCTGATGTGACAACCACGTGGGCTTACTATGCACCCACTTGTGCCATCTCTTTTTGTGCTCTTTGTGTCCTTTACTCCTCAGCCAGTCCAGGGAAGGCCTGCTCCGGAGTCCACGACACCAGCAGGCCAGGCCAGGAGCAGTGCTTTCTCCCGTGGCCATGCCGGGTGTGGCACACATGCCTCTCTACCGTGAGGACGATGCTCGCTAAGCCCCTGACCCAGGCTGAAACCCAGGGTTCTCTCCTGGGGAGGATCCCTCTTTCCTAGGTAGCTGAACCAGAGAGCAAAAAGAACTTTCTGAGGGCCCTCTAGGATGCAGGGTGCAGTCCTATGTACTTTACACCTAAAAGCATCTAATCTGATGAGGCAGGGACTTAGCATTCCCATTTCACAGACAAGGAAACTGAGGGATGGGGAGGTGGCGATCTGCCAGAGGTCACATGGCCAGTCAATGGCAGATCTTGGCCACTTCAAAGGGAGGCGTGACTGTGATACCTGCCCGATTTCCCACCAGACTCTCCCGGGGATCTCCCAGTAGCTCCTCCCAGAAGGTTCTTTCCTGCTGCTGCTCATACCTCCTTCTGTTGGGTTAAGTGGTTCTCCAGATCCTGAACTTTTCTCTTTTCTGACTCCAAGGCTTCCTTTGCTTTTCTTTTTTCATGGGCTATGCTGCTCTCCAAAACCTGCAAATCAACGACCAGTGCACTTGGTGGCCTGCACATTTAGGGGGGAAATTGCTAGTAATGATCATAATAATCATAGTAACAATAACAGCCGAAGTGTTGGGGCGGCTATTAGATATGCCTGGGCCCCTGGCCAGCCCTTCAGTCTCACAGCAACTCTGTCAGAGAAGTGCTGAGAGTGCCCATTTTACAGATGAGGAAACCGAGGAGCAGGAAGTCTGAGGGCCCAGAGCCACACCCTTTGTCAGAGGTGAGGCCAGGATCTGAAGTCTGTGCAGAGGAAAGCACGTAGCCTGAATAAAGAGCTCTGGACAGGGAACCCGGGAGCAGCGGGGGCAGCTTCCTGTCACGGGGCCAGGCAGCCTCTCTGATCAAAAGAAGAGTCTCGTTAATAATGGAATTTCCATTATTGAAATAAATCTCTTCAACAGAATTCGGTTTCAAGAGAAGGGCAGTATGTTGGATTAATGAGCCACAATATGCCAATTTCTAGAAGGGACAAGCAATGTTCTGGTAGGACGCAGGGACGAAAGTGTGGCCAGTATTGAGTGCCCTAATCAAGGAGTTTTGTCTGGGAAGTTACTTGCTGGTAAGCTATTCAACTAAACAGCTTAGTGTAAATCACCAAAGGAAATATGTTGCCAGCCTGTTTCCAGTCACCACGAGAAGGGCCACCTCTATTTTCCAATGGCTTGTCTTTCAAACACCAGGTTAACTGTCAGGTATTTAGAACTTGGAAGATGGTTGCCATTATAACCAGTGGTGAGGGCCCCAGACGAGCCCGCAAAAAGTGGTTAATCCAGAATATGGCTGAGGATATTGTATACTTTGCAGTGAAAAGTAGTTGACAAAACTCCAACACTGTGCTGTCCCAACACCAGCCTTAAAGCAGAAGAAAAGTGACATCATAAGAATTTCATGTTTATTTGGATCCTTTGAAGTGGGTTTTGAGGTAGGACATTTTCCTGTGAACTGTGAAAGAGACTTTGAGGCACTTCCTAGGGACTTAGGGTTGGCTCTGCTGTGTCTGACTCTGTGTCTACACTCGCCAGGCCTTCCTCTGGGCAGCTCCTCTGTAGCTGGGACAGGTACTGCTGGGAAGAGAGGCCTTGCCTGGCTCACACGCAGGCCCTACATACCCAGTTGCCGTGCTTCCAAGTTCACAACGGATAACGGGGATTAACTTTGAACATGACCTCAAGATCCAGATCATGACCTAGTGATTCTGTTGACCTTAAAAACCCTTATAATGTGGCGGAAGAGCTAATGAAAAGAAAATCAGGCCGGGTGCGGTGGCTCACGCTTGTAATCCCAGCACTTTGGGAGGCCAAGGCAGGCAGATCGCTTGAGGCTAGGAGTTCAAGACCAGCCTGGCCAACATGGTGAAACCCCGTCTCTACTAGAGATACAAAAAATTAGCCAGGCGTGGTGGTATGCGCCTGTAATCCCAGCTACTTGGGAGGCTGAGGCATGAGAATTGCTTGAACCCGGGAGGCAGAGGTTGCACTGAGCCAAGATCATGCCGCTGTACTGCAGACTGGGAGACAGAAAAAAAGAAAATCAAATAGCCACTGGCAGTTGAATGGAGCCTGTGGCTGGGGCTGCTCTTTCAATTTTCCCCAATAGGAAGCCACAGAGAAGTTCTGCCAGAAGTAGGCTGACATTTTAACAGACCCAGGGTGACCCAACCACAGATCCTCTCTGCAATGAAGCTTGAATTTTTCTCCCGAGCCCCATGGCCTCAAAGTCTCTAAATTCAAGGATCTTCCCCAGGCCTTTGCTGTTGACATCTTGGGGCATTTTTTTTTTTTTTTTTTTTTTTTTGAGACAGAGTCTCGCTCTGTGGCTCAGGCTGGAGTGCAGTGGCCGGATCTCACCTCACTGCAAGCTCCGCCTCCCGGGTTTACGCCATTCTCCTGCCTCAGTCTCCCGAGTAGCTGGGACTACAGGCGCCTGCCGCCTCGCCCGGCTAGTTTTTTGCATTTTTTAGTAGAGACGGGGTTTCACAGTGTTGGCCAGGATGGTCTCGATCTCCTGACCTCACGATCCGCCCGTCTCGGCCTCCAAAAGTGCTGGGATTACAGGCTTGAGTCACCGCGCCCGGCCCATCTTGGGGCATTTGACTCAAGTGACTCCTTGGAGACCCTGCTCCTCATCCCCACCCCTGGAGGCATTACTTGGGGGCAAACCTCAGTGATGCTCTGGGAGAGGCTGCAGGATACAGCTGTGCCAGAGACTGCAGTGATGGATGGGCAAGGATTTTACTTGAGGAGTCGATGTTGATGAAAAACAAATACCCAAACAGAAGAAGGGGCACAAGTGGCAGCAGAGACAGTAGCAACAGCTGCCATTTACTCGGCAATAATTCCACAGGCCAGGCCCTCCATTATACACTAGATCTGAGCCCACAGCTGCCCCTTCGAGAAGGGAGGTAGTGATAGGTCTGCTGCAGCCGGGCCAGGCCCTCCATTATACACTAGATCTGAGCCCACAGTCGCCCCTTCGAAAAGGGAGGTAGTGATAGGTCTGCTGCAGCCAGGAAGTAGCCCTGCTTGGATTCGAACTCATGTCTCATCTGGCTGCAAAGCCCGCACTCCCCTGTGCTGTGTCAGGACTGAGGAATTCATGAAAGCAGACATGAAAAAGGATCAGGGATCTGAGGGTGACCACAAGCTAAACATGAATCCACAAATGTGGCAGAGCTTTCCCAAACGCTAGTTTAGACATATTAACAGAAGTAGAACATCTTCAATGAGGGAGGGAAAAGTCCTCCCCTTAGGCTACCGTGGCTGGAGAACAGTGGTTCTGGCCACCTCTGGAGAACAGCGGTTCTGGCCACCTCCCTTTAGGAAGAAAATGGGTGATGGGTGACAAACTCAAATGCCTATGAAGCCCAGATACCAAAAAATGACGTGGGCTGTGTTTAACGCAATAGGGAGTGGTGAAAACTGTGGCAAACTGCTGCTACCCGGTAAGGCTTCTAGTCCATTTTTGCTAAGTAGAAACAAGGGCTAGATTTTCTGACTTTTCGGGAGTGGATGGAAATCTGAACTTTTAAGTAGATTCTATGAATTCAAAGTAAAATATTCTGGGGCCAAACGTAACCTCCACAGACCCTGTTTAGTTGCTGAGCTTCCCAGTCTGTGACTTCTGGAGAGCAGCACAGGCCACAGGAGGGGGCCAGCACCAGGTTCCAGTCCTGTGAGGGACCTGAGGAACAAGGGTGCTTGGGCCTGGGGAGGAGCAGATGCAGGGCACGGGCGCCTCTATTTTCACACATCTGAGTCATCGTGTGGAAGAGGAAGTGGACGTACCTCGTGGGAGCGCAGGGGAGGGCGGAGAATTGATACTCTTCTGAGGCATAAGAGTTTGACCCAACTCAATCTAAAGGGAAAACTTTCTGTTGGCCTGAGGCATCCATGCTGGGATGGACTGCCCTGGGGTGGAGAACATTCCTCAGCGGTGGTGCTCAAGGCTGGATGCTGGCGGAGGGTCCATGCAGCCCTGAGGTCCCATGACTCTGTCATTCTACTGTTTCTGTGCTTTGGAACACAGAAGATGCCCATGTCACCATTCCTACCTGTCTCCCAAGCGCTCGCTCTCTCTCTGACTGTGTTTTATACTGTTTACAGTTTTTTCCCAACTGGTTGTCAAGGCTACAACTCTGGGGTTCCCTTGAGTCTCCCACGCTTCCCGAAGTAGCTGAGTCCACCCAAACGTAAACTCCATGAGGAAGGCTCCACCACGCTCTCACCCCCATCATCGACGGCTCTGAACTTAATTCCACATGGCCCTGAAGCCGACTGGGCCTCAGCCGACTCTATCTCCCCGAGCGTACCTCCTTCTGGCGGGCCAAGCGTTTCTCCAGCTCTTGGACTCTTGTCTGCTCTTCCTCTAATGCTTCCTTCACTCTGTTCTTCTCCTGGGTAATGCTTTCCGCCAAAGCCTGAGTCAAGGATCATTGTTTAATAGACATGGTTACCGTGGCAGGAATTTGGACTCTGCCAGGCACCACATAGGTTACCTCTTCCCTCTTGACTGCACCTCCCTGTGGGGGGCTGTGGGCGGCACAGCCCTGGAACTCAGAGCCAGCGGGCCCAGACCAGAGCCCCAGATCCACCCTTCTTAGCTGCAGGGCCTTGATGTGGGCTCGAGCTGACTCTGTCTCCCTGAGCCACGTACCTTCTTCTGCTGGGCCAGGAGGCTCTCCAGCTCTTGCATTCTCTTCCGTTCTTCTTCCAAAGTCTCGTTCGCTCTGTTTCTCTCTTGCGTAATGCGCTCCTCCAAAGCCTGGAAACCAATGACTGTTGTTTAATAGACATGGTTACCATGGCAGGAATTTGGACACTGCCAGGCACTGCATGGGCTACCTCTTCACTCCTCACCACACTCCCCTGGGGAGGCTGTGGGCAGCAGAGTCTAGGAGCTCGGAGCATGTGCTCTGGAGTCAGGAGACCCAGGGTAGAGCCCCAGGTTGATCCTTTCCAGCTGTAAGACACTGGGGAAGTAAAGCTACCAGAGCCTCAGTTGCCCTGCCTGTACAATGGAGACAGTAATAGTCTTCCTGTGTTGGGTTGATGTGAGGGGTGGATGGGATGACGAGCACGAAATGGCTGGCACAGTGATAACCACGCTTCCCACCTTGCAGACGAGGAAACAGGCTTACATGAAGGAATCCACCCAGTTTACTAGTAAATCACATGAGTAGGGATTCTAACTCTGACCCATTTGATTCTGAAGCCTGTGTTCTAAACCAGAGGTTAGCAAACAATGGTTTATAGACCAAATCTGGTCTGTTTTTGTGAATAAAGTTTTATTGGAACACTCTGTGCTTGCTGTGTATTGTCTATGGCTGCTTTTGCAGAAGAGCAGAGAGCATATGACCTGCAAAACTGAAAATATTTACTATCTGGCCCTTTATGGAACAATTTGGCCAATCCCTGATCTAATGCATCGGTGTGTGCACAAATCAAGTGACTGCTGTCAACAACTGGTAATAAGACAAGAATGCTAGATTGATAGAGGAACCCAGACGTCTTTTTTCCCCCCTTTGAAACAAAGTCCTCAAACAAGTCAAGATTCATGAGAGGGAGGCTACTTAATGAGCCTGGACACATGTTTTTTCGGAAAGGGCAGGTGATGGGAGTCAGAAGGGCTAAGGAAGGCTCACATAAAGTCAGGACACCTGGCACTGATGTCCAAGAGGTAACTTTCCAAGGAGTCCCCAGGGTCAAGTCCATCAATCCGACTGTCAGAGGAAGGGAGACCTTCGAGTGTCACAGTCTGTCTGGCAGGGACCTGATGTCGCTTCCTCCCTCTGCAAGGACGGTGGGGTGCATCGAGGTTTGCAGGTTTAAAAGAGGGGCTGACACCAGCTCTTAGAACACTCTGCCAGGCCAGTGTCGCCATGGGTGTCTAGGAAGACTAGGCAGGCGCCCAACGCAGTGTTTAACACGGTGGGGCTGAAATACCAGACCCTGACAAGGGAAAAAGTCCATCCAAAATTAAAAAGAGAAAATAAGGCATTTGGAATGCCGATGTTAAAAGGAGAAGGTAATCAGAGAAGAGAAAAGGAAGTCGGTGGAGAGTTCTGTGAACATCCTGAAGATTTCTAGGTACTTTCTGGTTTTATTTTCTTCTCTGTGGAACAGTGCTGGCTTCTTCCATATCTAAATGCCCTTCAAAATGTGCCCGTCTTGATTTATAGCTATCATTAATATTACCTTTATGCGGATTGCACATGATTTGGTCAGATGGCTCTTCCTTTTTAATCTTTTATTTCGCAAATGCAGAAAAGCAGAGAAAGAGGCAAAGAGAAGGGGGAGGAGGAGGAGACCGATGTCTTGGGGTAACTGGACACACATGTGAGGATGGAGATGAAAGGGGGAGAGGTCTGGAGGGCAGGTGTGTGTGGCAGAGGAGCTGGGGAAAGATGGAGAAGGTGGCAGGTCCAGTCCTCTTCTGGGGAAGAAAGGAGAGATCTGGGAAGAGTTGAGGTCTGGTGGATCTGGGGCTGCTATCTTGCGGGGGCTGTGAGCAGGGTCAGCACGCACAGGCTGCTCCACACCCACCCACGACAGTGGCTCGCAACTGTGGCTGCACTTTGCAACCACCTGGGAGTGCTTAGAAATCCCAGAGCAGGGGCCGCACCCTCACCCCACTTAGATCACAATGCGGAGAGTCGGTGAGGAGAGGTGGAAGGCATTAGTAATCTTTAATCTCCTAAATGACAAAAGTCATAAAGACGGTAAAATTCATGGGAGGGGTCCCTGAATATCAAAAAGGGCCAACCCTTGGGTACGGCGGCTCACGCCTGTAATCCCAGAACTTTCGGAGGCTGAGGTGGGAGGATCACTTGATGCCAGGAGTTTAAGACCAGTCTGGGCAACACAGAGAGACCCCATTTCTACAAAAAATAAAAATATTAGCTGGGTGTGGTGGTGTGTGCCTGTGGCCCCAGCTGCTTGAGAGGCTGAGGTGGGAGGATCACTTGAGTCCAGGAGCTCAAGACCAGACTGGGCAACATAGCAAGATCCCATCTCTACCAAAAAAAAAAATTATCTGGGTGTAGTGCCATATGCTTGTGGTCCCAGCTACTTGGGAGGCTGAGGTGGGAGGACTACTGCAGCATGGAAGTTTGAGGTTGCAGTGAGCTGTGATCACACCACTGCACTCCAGCCTGGGCAACAGAGCAAGACCCCATCTTAACAAAAAAAAAGGGCCAACTCTAGGACAGTGATGAGAATCAGCTCATTAAATAATATAGTTTCCTGGCCCTCTCCAGATGTTCTGATTTAACGGGTCTGGTGTGGGGACCAAGATCTGTATTTTTAGCAAAACATCTGGGTGGTTCTGATCAGGAAACTTTGGGAAAATCTTCCTCTAAGACTTCACCCTAAGAAAATGTGGATCTGCAGACTGGTAGCGTCAGCACCATCTGGGAGCTTGTTGGAAATCTAGCGTCTCAGGCCTGCTGAGACAGAATCTGCATCTTAACCAGATCCCCAGAAAATTCACGGGCACCTTTGAGTTTTAGAGATGCTGCTGTCTTCTAACTGGCCTGGTTTCTAGAAAAGTCAGTAGCAATTTTGGCCATTTGTTTTCCCTGATATGTATAAAGAGAAAGCAAAAGACTGAAATTTGTCATCTGAAGTTGATCTTGTGCACATTTAGAAACAGTCTGTCAGCTACAAACCAGGACCTGCAGCGATGACTCAGATTTTATAAAGCTGACTGCAATGTGTACACAAACAAGGCACCGTTTCCTGAAATTTCAATCACGCTGCCTTTTCAAGCTGATTTTGCTGTGAGTTTTAGAATTCAAACTTCATGTTAAATCCTCCCCACTTATTCACCCTGTTTAATTAATTTAGTTTCACAGCACCAAACAGAGTAGCTGAGATTTGTCTAAGTACATATGCCCTCAATTTCCCATATAAAAGACCATTTCATCAATTTTCAGTAGTAAAGCAAATGACAGGGACCACCTTACCGCCTTCTCTTCCGTCAGTTGCCTGATTTTGGCTTTCAGCTTCTCCTCTTGCTCTAGCCTCTCCTCGTTCAGCTGCTTCTTCTCTGCCAGATGCTCCCGCAGCTTTTCTTGCAGTAAAGACTGCTGAGTTTCTTGAGAACTGTTGAACTTGATCTGAAATGAGAGAAAAGTAAACCGATGCTGATGGGGGACAGGCCTAACTAAAGAGTCTTTCCACATTTGTTTACCAATTGTTTACCTTTCATGGGACAAAGGTTTACCCAAAAGTTTCTTAAAATCACAGAACACCACAGCATGCAGTGGTTAAGAATTCAGACTCTGGATTTAGAAAGAATCCCAGCTCTAATTGTTTCTAGACACTTCCTCATTTAGAAAATGAAGTTAATAACAGTATTGACCTTTTAGAGTTGTGAGGATTAAGTGAGACAATGATGGAAAGCTTTTAGCAGTGCTGAGCACATAGTAGGTGTCTAGTAAGTGGTAGGTGGGTATGAGAAAAAAAAAAGCAGTCACTTAGGAGCCAGGAGGCTTGAACATTTGTCTTGATTCTTCGCCCATTAGCTGTGTGACACTGAAATTGTCCTTATCTGAAAAATGAGGAGAAGGGACTAGACCAGGGGTTGACAAACTACAGCCCACAGGCCAAATCGGGTCCACTGCATACTTTCGTAAATAAGGTGGCTTTTTTTTATTTTTTATTTTTTTCTGAGCTGATGTCTTGCTCTGTTGCCCAGGCTGGAGTGCAGGGACACGATCTTGGCTCCCTGCAAACTTCACCTCCTGGCTTCAAGTGATTCTCCTGCCTCAGCCTCCTGAGTGGCTGGGATTACAGGTGCCCACCACCACACCTGGCTAAGTTTGGTATTTTGAGTAGAGATGGGGGTTTCACCATGTTGGCCAGGCTGGTCTTGAACTCCTGACCTCAGGAGATCCAACCACCTCGGACTCCCAAAGTGCTGGGGATTACAGGCATGAGCCACCGTGCCTGCCATAAATAAAGTTTTATTGGAACCGTGGCATACTTATCATGCCCATTGCCTACATATTGTCTATGGCTACTTTCATTTTACTGTAGTAGAGTGGAAGAGGTATGAATATGGTCTGCAAAGCATAAAATATTTACCATCTAGCCCTTTACAGAGAAAGTTGCCAATCCCTGGACTCAAGCCTCTGTGGCTGATTGGCACGGTGGTCCCTTCTTCACCCCACTCTATCCATGTCTAGGGCTATGTAACTTGCAGTGCCCGCCCATATTTTGCCTCCAGACACTGAACTCAGCCATGTGACTTGCTCTGGCCAATGGGATCTTAGCAGACATAACACAAGCAGAAGATTGAAAAACACTATGTGATTGGGCCACTTTCTCTTCTACCTCTGCAGTCTCTGTAAGAACAGCCTAGGTTTGCTTGCTGGGGGATGAGGGACACGTGGAGCTGAGTCGCCCCAGCTGAGGCCGGTCTAGATCAACCAAAGGCCAGCTAACACCCAGACAAGTGGGCAGGCCCATCCAAGGTCAGCAGAGCCACCTTGCCACTGACCCCAGACACGTGAACAGTAAATAGCAACTGCTGAATGCCACTGAAGTTTTGTGGTTATTATATAACACTCTTATGGCTATAGTTATCAGAATGATATAACCCCTAAAGCTCATTTGCCTCTAAAATATTTCTTTTCTTTTAGTAATTCTGCTGCCTGTACTATAGATAGCTGTATTTTGTCCACTGGATTTAACAAACACAGTTTTCAAAATCTGATGGCATTAAGGCCAGGCACAGTGGCTCACACCTGTAATCCCAGCACTTTGGGAAGCTGAGGTGGGTGGATCACTTGAGGTCAGGAGTTCAAGAGCAGCCTGGCCAACATAATGAAACCCCATCTCTACTAAAAATACAAAAATTAGCAAGGCATGGTAGCAGGCGCCTGTAGTCCCAGCTACTTGGAAGGCTAAGGCAGAAGAATCAATTGAACCCAGGAGGCAGAGGCTGCAGTGAGCCGAGATTGCGCCACTGTACTCCAGTCTGGGCAACAGAGCGAGACTCGGAAAAAAACAAACAAAAAAAAAAATCTGATGGCGTTAAGTCTTCTGGGCCTTTGACAGAGGAAAACAAACAGTGTGGTTGGCCCAGGAGGCCAGACAGACGGCAGCACCCTGTCCTTGTCCTTACCCTCCTGGGAGATCTTAGCCAACCTTTTCTGTACCTCTTTGTGTGCAAACAGAGAAATCATTTCACCTGTTGGAGGGTGTGGACTGACTAGCTGATAAAGAAAAAACAGGTTTCAAATGCACAGTGCTATATAAATGCCAACCAGGGGCCGAAAAAAAGAACTTTGGAAAAAAAGAAATTAAAAGAATTACCTGAAGTTCCTGGGTCTGGCTCATAAGTTTTTTATAATGTTCCAGAAGATATATCAGATACAAAGAGAACCCTTAAAAAAAGAGAAGCAGGAAGAATGTAAGTATCAATTCAATTCAACTCCAAAGCTTGCAGACAGCTGGATGAAGGCAACGTTGCCATCCCATCAAAACAACATGAGCTGTCATCCAACCTGTGGTTTTAAAGTCGTTGATAGGCAGCCGGGTACGGTGGCTTAGGCTAGACATGGTGGCTCACGCCTGTAACCCCAGCACTTTGGGAGGCTGAGATGGGCAGATCACCTGAGGTCAGGAGCTCGAGACTAGCCTGGCTGGCCAACATGATAAAACCCCATCTCCACTAAAAATACAAAAACTAGCTGGGTGTGGTGGCGCATGTTTGTAATTCCAGCTCCTTGGGAGGCTGAGGCATGAGAATCACTTGAACCTCGAAGGCAGAGGTTGCAGTGAGCCCAGATTGTGCCACTGCATTCCAGCTCGGGCAACAGACAGAGACTCGGTCTCAAAAAAATAAAAATAAACATAAACATAAAAATAAAAAAAGGAGTTGATAAGCCTTGGTTGAGCTCACATCCAACTTTCTTTTTGGAGGTGGAAAATAAACCATCAACAGAACACTTATTAACTGTCTACTCTGTGTAAAGCATGGTGCTGAGTGTGGGGGACGGTCAAAAGCCAAGACCTCCAGGGGCTTGCAGTTCAGTCCGACAGACAAGGTGTAAATGCCTGCTGGAAACACGCAATGACCTCAGGTGGCGTGTAAGTGACTGCTGAAGGAGAGGCGAGGGCGAGGGTCTCAGAGGAGGGAGACATCATTCCTGGAGTGAGCGAGTAAGGCCACTTGGTTGAAGAACCACTGGGTGTGGGTGCTGTTGGGTGGGCAGAATTCAGTGAGCCGGGGGAGGGTGCTTCAGAACAGCGGTGTGTGGGGCTGAATGATGACCTCCTACGATTCCAGGTCCGAATCCCTGGAACCTGTGGGTGTGACTGTACGGGGCAAAAGGAGCTTGGCAAATATGATTTAAGTTCAGGATTTCGAGGTGCGGTGTTATCCTGGATTATCTGGGTGGACCCAATGTCATCACATGGCTTCTTATAAGAAGGAGACAGAGGGAGGTTTGACCACAGACAGAGGGGAAGGTGATGTGATGGAAGGAGAGAGACCGGAAGATGCCACGTCACTGGCTTTGAAGATGGAGGAAGGGGCCACGAGCCAAGGAATGCAAGGAATGAAGCTCTAGAGGCTGAAGAAGGCCAGGAAACGGATGCCGCCCTAGAGCCTCCGGAAGGAACTTTAACTCGGTGAAACCGAATTAATCCTGAACGCTAAGAGAATAATGTGTTGTTTTAAGCCACTCTCTTGTGGTCATTTGTTACAATAGTCACAGGAAGCCATAGCTTCGTACAGGGATGTGGGGGTGGTGGGGGTGGGTTAGGAAAAGGCAGTGCTCCTCCGGGGAAGTGCTGAGCTACTTGGGCTGGAGTAGATGATGGGAGAGGGAGGAGCAGATGGTGGAGGAGGCATGGAAGGGTGAGGTGAAGCTGTGACAGGCCTGCAACCATCACCTTGAGAGAGGAAACTTGATTTAAACATGATTGAAAGGTGCCCAGTGGGTCCCCATTTTATAGATGAGGCAGTGGCGTTCTGAGACGCGGGCCTGCCCGACGCCACACAGCAGGCCAGTGGCTGAGCCAAGACTAATTGGTGTGACTCAGGGTCTGAGTCACTATTCTAGCAGCTGGCAGAACAGTGAAGTAGCCTGATGAAGAGTGGGGTGTGTGTGTGTGTGTGTGTGTGTGTGTGTGTTTCTTTTGCAGAAAAATAACTGGGCTGCATTCGAGAGGCTGGAGCTGGCAGGGCTTCTTTGCTGCAGCACTGCTGATAGGTCCGGCCACATTGCTGGTATTGCACTGCTGACATTGTTGAGTCTGTGCCATGGGGGCTGCCTTAGGCATTGTGGGATGGTTAGTAGCATCCCTGGTCTCTACCCACTGGATGCCAGGGGGCACCCCCACTCACCCCACCCCAGTTGTGACAACCAAAAATGTCACCAGACGATCCTGGATGTTGCCTGTGATAAGCTCCCCTCCTCCGAGTGAGGGGCAGGGAGCTCTGCTAAGGGCCCGAGAGACGCCCAGGAATTCAGTGCTGATCCTCTAACCGAGGGTGGGAGAAGCGAGGAGGAGAAGGAAGAAAGGGAAAGCATTTCAAAGCGGTAGAATGGTGGCCGCGCCATCAGACGGGAGAGAGACAGGGTGGGGTTGGGGTGGGGTGTGGCAGAGGGAGAGAAGCCCCCACGCTGTTTCAGACGTGCTGAATTGGAGGCATGGGCAGGACTCGAGGGAGGGATGGTCAGCGGAGAGCTGGACATGCTGACTGGCATGGCTGGCCCAGCCCAGCCCATCCAGGGTCCTCGTGTGAATGAAGAAAGAGGCCCCCTTCTTCCTGGTGGCCATGGCCCCCAGCCAGGGACCCCACCTGCTGCCTCGGCTGGACTCCCTGCACCATCTTCCCGGCAGCCCCTCCTGCAGAGGCGTCCGTATGGATAACACATAGTAGTGGCTGGGGAAGCCCGGAAGTGCAGAGTTTCTTTGTGAGAAAGGAGACGGGGTGGACCAAGGGCTGACTGCACAGGAGAAAACACCCTCGTTAGGGACAGGAGTTGGTGAAGGGGGCTGCTGGGAATGAATGGAAAAGATCAGGAGGGAAGCAGAGTGCCCCAGGGCCTGAAGAGCTGAGGGGCAAAAGGGTTCAAAAAAGAGAACGAAGAGTGTTGGGCAGGTCAGAGACACGGTCCCCAAGAGGGTGGTGGCCCAGTCAGTGCTGCAGGGGGCCCACGTCAGTTACTTGGCAGAAAGGCCAAGAAGTTGGCAATGAAGACCGAGGGTGCAACATGCCTCTTAAAGATCACAGGTGAAGACAGGAGTAAGAGCAATTGAAAAGGAGCAAAAGAAGCAATGGATTCCAGAGAAGAATGATTTTTTCAGGATGGTAGAGCCATCTTGAAGTGCCCCTTCGATGGCAAAGGGAAGGAACTAAGAGGAAAAGAAAGGCTGCAGACGCCAAAGAAAGAAGAATTTTGTGCACAAGGTCCCTGGGAAGGAGAGGAAAGGGGAGACAGGGCAGGGTATGTGCTGCATCTAGGAGGAAGACCTCGTGGGGATGATGGAGGGAAGGAATAAAAGATGGACACAGAGAGAGAAAGGAAGCGAGGAGAACATGCTTGTGCATGGGGCAATGCACCATTCGGAGGATTTCCAGCACAGAAACGTGAGAACAGCAATATTATAATAATAGCACACCTCCTGTATGCCAGTGCTATGCCAAGAGTCTGATACATCTTTTTAATCATTATAAACAACCTGGCAAGGAAGTGTGTTCATATTTATAGGTGAAACGACAGAAGCTCCCCAAGGTTAAGCTACAGAGCTGGTAAGTGGTAAATCAGAATTCAGACCTAGGTCTGTCACTCTCTTTTCAAAGGGTTTGGAGGCTTGAGAGTACAGGGTTTGGGTTGGTGCACTGGGGAGGTGCATTGCAAGGATACCAAGATGGCGGAGGAGGTGAGATGGCTGGGCTGACATTGGCTTGGCCCATTGGACCTGGTGAATACAGACATCTGTGGAGGCTCTGTTGGGATAAGTCTGGGATTTTGCTTGGCTGCAACGTGTGACCCAGGAACCAAAGGAGAAGGATGAAATCATAGTTGGGATCTGAGGAGGACTAAGGGGTGAGGGAGTTGAGGATGCTGAAGGGGAGGCCAGTATTTGATCACCTTTCTATTTCTAGATGAGATGACTAACTGTAATCATAATGGGATTTTGCTCTTTGGGGGAAGCAACAAGTCTTTCTTATACTTCTGTTTACAAAAGTTATATATGTTGCGGAAATTCATAATGTGGGAAGTGTTTGCTGCTGTGTCTTCCTGTTCGGCATGGTGACTGGCACACAGAGGCCCTCAACGAACAGTTGTTGAACAACTGAATGCAAGTCAAGGTCCAATGCAATCCCACCCTGCTGCGATAATACTCCTAACAGTCTGATGTCTTTTTCTCAAGGTTGTTCTTTTGCTCAGATACTGACATCTAAAAAAAAATAAAAGCACACTAAGCATATTGTATTGCAACTTGCTTTCTTTTCATTTAAAGACACAGTGTATCTTGGATATCTCAGTGGTTTGCCATGCATGCAAGAAAAGTCCTTTGTTTGTAACAAAGTCTTGCAGAAATAGACACAAACGATGGAGCTTGCAGAGAAAAATGTAAAAAGTCCTTTCCTTCCCTCATCAGAGGAACCCTGAGAAACCAGGCAGGAGGAGTATTCAGCTGACTTTCAAGGTGCCGCTTAAACATTCTTATCCTCCCAGCTGAACCACAAAGCAAATCCTCCACCCTTCCGAACACACTGGACCCCACCAGGCCTCACCTTGTGGGTTACACATGACATCTCACACAAACACTGCAAGTTGTTTCCCTGACGTTTAGCCCACCTGGATTCCCCTGGGGGATTCGTTTCAGGACTTATGTCCTAGTGTGTGTTTTATCTCTTAGGAGGATGTTCTAAGAGGCAGGTAGCCCAGTGGTCAAGAGCAGGCAGTTTGAGCTTGGAGGGGCGTGGACTGGGTTGCAGCTTGGTCACCTGGCAGTCGGGACACCAGAGCCACTGTCACGACTCTAAGGAGGAGGCCTCTAGAAAGGGCTGTTGGCTTCAACCCAATTGAGGGCTCACAGCTAAGGAAACCCCATTTGCTGCTAAATGGAGACAGGGCAGAGGCTCCAAAGGATGTCACCTGGGTGCAAGTAAACCAGGCTATGCGGCCCACATGCCTGCCTGGCTGGTGGCTACCCATGTTTAGGTCAGATTAAGTCAACAAGTATTGGAGGCTGACGATGACAGCAGCCCCCACAGAGTATAAGCTGCCTGTGACCAGCGCTGCCATGCGTGTATCCCATCACTCAGTCCTCATATGCCCCTAAGAGACTGGATGGCCATTTCATGAGCAAGTAAATGGAGACACAGCCACATCACGTAACTGCCCACATAGCTAGTAGGTGCACAGCTGAAATTCAGGCCTTGGCAGTAGGTCCCCAGTGTCCCAGCTTGGAACATTACTGTGATACAGATGAGGCTTTCTGTGGTTATGGCTCAGGGTAGGAATCAGAGGCAGTTTACCTTAGGGAAAGACGACTCTCAGCTCTGTCGCTGGCCGAGCCGATGACAGCACCCATTCTCGAGGGACTGGGCACGTGCCTGGTACCTTGGTACATCTTCAGAGGAAGTGTGTATGTGTGTAGGGGGTGGGGGTGAAGAGGCAGGGATCATAGGGAAGACACAAGTGTTAGGGTCACGAAGACCTCCGTTTGAGTCCTAGCCCTAATGTACTAGCTGTGTGACCCCGGGCAACTTTTTAACATTACTGTGTCTCAGTTTCTTTACTTTTAAAATACAGGCTGGGCGCTGTGGCTCACGCCTTGTAATCCCAGCACTTTGGGAGTTGAGTGGGTTGCTTGAGCCCATAAATTTGAGACCAGCCTGGGCAACATGGCGAAACTTCACCTCAAAAAAAAAAAAAAAAAAAAAAGATAAAATAAAGATGGTAATCATACGTGCCTCCCTGGGTAGGTGGGAGGATAAAAGTACACAATGCGTGTGAAACACCTAACACAGTGCTAAGTCCCCAGGAGGAGTTAACAACCCGTGCTTTCTACCCTTCTCTTCGGAGCCAGAAATGCAGGCGGCTCCGGGGAGTGTGCGGGATGGCGACGAATAGACTGGGGACTCCCTGTCAGCCTCTGTAATGTGAAGTGCCTCGAATCACCTTATCCTGGTGGAGTAATCAGAAAACCAGCTTTGAGCCAGTTTCCTCTTTTCCAAAATGAAGATAATGGGCAAATTATTAACTCATAGAGTTATTGTGAGGATGAAATGAGATCATGTATAAAAAATGCTGAGAACTGTATCTAGAATACAAGTCCTCAGTGATGAATGACTGTCATTGTCACCATAATCACCGTCATCACCGTCATCAATACCTTCCTCCTTCCTCCTCGTCCCTCTCCCTCCCCATCCTTCCTGCTCATCTTCCTCTTCCCGATCCTCCTCCTGGACTAGCCCTGGGCTAGGAATTAGGTACAAGAGTAGAGAATATGGGGCATACTCTAGCTCACCCTGTTCTTTCAGTCTTTTGGGCACTTGACGTAATATTGCTTGTACTGGAAGAGAAAATGCCTTTTACCATCAACTTCCTCTTCTGCTGAGTGGACAAAAGATGTGCCCTGCTTACCAACCTTTCTGTTATTCTCCATTCTTTTAGTTGTAATCACAGAATATGTAGCCAGCAAACCACCGTTTCCCCAACGAGTGTTTCGTGGAACATCATTCCAAGAGGTTAGCTGGGGGCGGGGGTGGGGGTAAGGGCATCAAGAAAGGGGACCAGTAGTTGGGAAATACTGCTTTCTTTTTCCCCTTCTTGTTGACCCAGGGTGCGTGTTAACCAGGGAGGGATTCTGCAGAGACCTGCTTAATGTCCTTCAAATCTCCCGACTCTATGAAGTCAGAATGAAATGGCTGGTCTGAGGAATGCTGCCTAAAATCAGTCTTCCTTAGCTTTTCTGGAATTACTGGCCTGAAAGCTTAACTTTACAATCTGCATTTATTTATTTATTTATTTATTTATAGACAGGTTCTCACTGTGTCACACAGGCTGCAGTGCAGTGGCATAATCATAGCTCACTGCAGCCTCGAAATCTTAGTCTCAAGGAATCCTCCTGGCTCAGCCTCATGAGTAGCTGGAACTACAGGCCTGTGCCACCATGCCTGGCTAATTTATTATTATTTTTATTTTTCTGGAGATAAGGGGTTTCATGACATTGCCCAGGTTGGTCTTGAACTTCTAGCTTTAAATGATCTTCCTGCCTCAGCCTCCTAAGTTGCTGGGATCACAGGCATGAGCCACTACAACTGACAGCAACCCACATTTCTTAACAGTAGTATATGCCTAGATTTATGGACTTAGTCTAGATGACTAAAATGGTCTTGGGAGTGGGAAGGGGACAGTGCACACGTAGCTTGGCTCTGTTATTACCAGGATGGAAATCAGGGTCTTTGTTTTAGTTCCGGTCTTGAAGAACAACGAGAACTCTGCTCCATGTTTTACCACATTTCAAGTAAGCTCACGACTCTGCCTTGATTGCAAGAACAGTAACACTCTCTGCTATATGATGAGGGGAAGGTTCCTACATCAAAATTAATGTTGGTTTTGCTTGTGCTTTTTAAGAATGTTACCCCACCTTCTGGATACTTTGGAAGCATCCTGCGGGGGATGTTGAAGCGCCAGGGTTGAAAATCACTCCTCTATTCTTATTCCTTGTGGAAAGAATATAAAACTGAGGCAGGCTCTCTGGAGGGTGATTTGGCAAGGAGAAGCAACAAGCTTCAAAATGTTGGAGTTCCTTAAGGTGCAGCCCTGGGCTCTTTCCCTTCTCTCTCATTAATTTCATGTCAGTCATGAGCTTCCATGAAATCAGGCAAAACATGGAGCAAAGTTCTCCGGCTGTTCTTCAAGATTGAAGAATAAATAATCTTCCGAAGTGATACCATTCACATCTATGGCCTTAATCTTCCTTCCTGCTTTGCTTCCTGCCTGCTTGCCTCCCTTCCTGCTTTCCCTCCTGCCTTCCTTCCTGCCTTCCTGTCTTCTACCCATCCATTCATCCACCCACAGACCCACCTATCCTTCTATCCACCCACCTTTCCTCCCGTCCATCCATCCACCCACCTACCCACACTTCCATCCATCATCCTTTCATCCATCCATCCATCCATCCATCCATCCATCCATCCATCCATCCATCCACCCTTCCATCCATCCTTTCTTCCATCCATTCATCCACCCTTTCTTCCATCCATCCATCCATCCTTTCTTCCATCCATCCATCCACCCACCCACCCTTTCATCCATCCTTTCTTCCATCCATCCATCCATCCATCCATCCATCCATCCATCCATCCATTCATCCTTTCTTCCATCCATCCATCCATCCTTCCTTCCCATCCATCCGTCCATCCCACAGATATGTATTAGGCCCCTGCTGTGTGGCATGTGCTCTCTGGGTGCTGGGGATACATCATTATTATCTATCCCGACAAGACACCCGGGTAAACAGCTGTCTCTTGGGCATCTCATCTCAGATGTCTCACAGGCACCTCACACTCCTCTTCCCTCTCAAACCTGGGCCTCATCTTGCGTTCCTTGCTCTCAGTTTTAGTGAAGAAATCACATCTGTCTTTTACACACACCAGAAACTAAGAGGTCCTGTTGACTCTCCTCTATCACCTTCCTTCCAACCATCTCCAGTCCTACCACTGAGGCCTGTTGATTTACCTCTTACTCGCTCCTGAATCTGAATCTTCTCTTTCTCCATCCCCACCCTGCCCTAGGGCGGCCTTGTCATCTCTTATGGCAGCCTCCCAAGTGGCTCCTGGGGCACCACGCTGCCTACCCTCCAGGACGTTGTCCGCCTGCCACCAAGATGATTGTCTCAGAATGCAAGCTTGTCCAGCTCCTTACTTAAGACCTTTCACAGGCTTATCTCTGCCCTTAGAATAAAGCTGCTCACCAGGGCCCTGCAAGACCCCACATCATGGCCCTGGGAAGCTCCCTGGCCAGCCTGCCTGGCCCTGTGCCCATTTCTGTTAGCCCCTTGTGCTCTCCATGCTCCCCCTGCCACCACACTGCTCCTGTGCTCGGAATGCTGTCTCTCCCTTCTTTGGCAAACAACTCCTATGCATCCTGCAGATGCCCTGCTCTCCCTGACCAGATCGAACCCTGCACTGCATAGCAACTGTCGCCACTCAGCTTTCATGTTTGTTTGAGTGATTGTCCCATTAATGCCCACCTCATCCTTCCCCCTGAGATCATAAGCTCTTTGAGGGCCCAGTATTTTATTATAAAAAATCTCAAATGTATGGTCATATTGGAAGAATTTTACAGTGAACCATATACGCACGACCTGATTCTACCTGTTCCTGACCCCATTATGTCTCTGCCCTGCACAGCATGTGGCGTCTAGTAAGCAAGCATGCAATCAATCTTTGTTGAAAGAAAGTGGTTCATGCCTTTCCACTTCTAGGAAAATAAAGATAATATAAGCAGGTATATGTGCAACAGTGTTCATCTCAGCATGATTTATGAGTGTGAAAAACTGGAAATCACCTAAGTGCCCATGATAGGGGATTGTCTAAAACAATGGCACATCCCACACAATGGAATCAGTAACCGCCGTCAGTAACAGCGATGATGTAGGTCTGTGTCTACTGACGTGGATGATGTACCATTAGGAACAAACCAAAGAAAATTGGGGATAATGTGACACTATTTTTTTGTAAAATTAAAAGTCAATAAACATTCAGTAATGCCTATTGTGTGCCAGGTACTGTTCCAAGTACTTTCCATGTATTCATGCATTTTAATGATCACAACAGTCCTAAAGGGTGGGTACTCCCTATTAGCCTCATTTTACAGATACGGAAACTGAGGCATAGACAGGGTCAGTGCCTAGAATCACGTGGCTATTTCCACGGGAAAATGCCTTGGAAGTTAAACAGCGTAATGAGACTTTGCATAATTTTGATTTAAATTTCCTTTTGCTTCTGTTTCATTTGTCTTCAGTTATCATGTCTCACTTGTGCGTTTTTTTTTTTTAATGGAAAATTACGCCTCAAGCAGAGAAGCAGGGGGTTCTGGAGAAAGGAGTAGACTTGGCCAGATACCCAGGATGACTTCCTCAACAGATGTCCCATCATGCTGAGATTCAACACGACATTTTAGAGTCATGCAACCATGTGAGAAAAAAAGTCCCAGTAACCTTTGTCAGCGCTGGAGGGCAGGATCCCAAGGTCCCGGAGGAGCTGCTCCACCTCCTCCAGCCAGGACAGGGCGTGCCTCAGGATGTCCAGCACCACCTTCTGGAGCCCCGAGACAGGTGGGCTCACCTGGAGGTGCTGAAGAAGGTCGACCTCCTTCTTCAGGTCACTGGTGCAACAGGACATTTTCATGCAAGCCTGCAAAGAGGTGAGATCATGAGGAGCCCAGGCCCTGTGGCCAGAAATAGGCCCTGACGTGAACCTTCGAGGAACGTTGACTCTGCAATGAAGCAGGCAGCGCCACATATTGGCCGCCTTGGGAGGGCTCAGTTTTTTCTTTTTAAAAATTTTTATGTTTTGACAGTTTTTTTTTTTTTTATACTCTAATTTGGACTTTTGATGGTCAAAGTGAACCCACTGTTAGGTATATGAAACCCCAAAGCTAAAGTGCCATCAACAGTTTGGCTGCAATGAGAAGCAAATGTGGCTACTTCTTTTTTCCATTCATCAGAATTCCTGCCAAGATCAACACACAAGCTGGTCGGAAAGCGTGGTTTCCTGATTTGAAAGGGTGCTGACAAGCCAGCATTTGCACGAACTCCCCGAACAGGAGCTGCTGATTTCCAGAGAAAGCAGCAGCCACCGCCTGCTCTGATAAGCCATGCTCCAGGGTGGGGGCCGCAGGGCTGTGGCCAAGTCCTCTGGTCCCTGCTCCTCCAGAGTCAAAGGCAATGGTGTGGCAACCGCCTTTTGTGTCTGGGCCAAAAAAAGAAAATGTAAATAAAAAGCAGGAACGTTTCTTTGGTTTCTCTGGAAATAACATGGGGGCTATTTAAAAAAAAGTCTTTTTGGTTGGGGATGGGGGCCGCTCAAAGTCCGTATTTGAAGATGCTCAGGCATCTTTTGTGGACACACCAAGTTCTTCTGGGAGGCATTTTTTGAGGCCCTTTGTTTTTTCTTCTCCAACAAGAGGAAAAAGTGGACAGAAAAGCCAAGCATTTCTGCCTAACTTGCTCCAAAAAAGCTGGGCAATTTCCCAAGTAAGCAGCACAAACATTAGACAAAGCGACCATTTGTGGACAGCGTAAGGAGGGGCCACCTGGCAGCTGTCCAGCGACGTCCTCAGCTTCTCGATGTTCTCGGTGGTCTCCTCCTGCTTGGAGTTGCTCAGCTGGGTTTCTTTCTGTAGGGTCCACTTTTTCTGCTGAAAATTGATGTTGTCCTCAGTGACCTGGGCAATTTTCTCTATTAACTGGTGAGAAAAAGAAAAAGAAAAAAAAAAAAAGATGCAACATACAGGGATGGGGGGCTCTGGGGGAAGGGGAATGGGAGAGGGGAGAGATGCAACGTTAAGTCCCTGTCTCAGCACGGGAGGACGGAGGCCCTGATGTGTCTCGGCGATGGCTGTCAAGGGGGACGTCGGTCCTGTCACCAGGGAATGAATCCCGGAATCAGAGACTTTTTTTTTTTCTTTTTTTTTTTTTCTATGGAGTTTCATTCTTGTTGCCCAGGCTGGAGTGCAATGGTTTGATCTCGGCTCACCGCAACCTCTGCCTCCCAGGTTCAAGCGATTCTCCTGCCTCGGCCTCTGAAGTAGCTGGGATTACAGGCATGCGCCACCACACCCAGCTAACTTTGTATTTTTAATAGAGATGGGGTTTTACCATGTTGGTCAGGCTGGTTTCGAACTCCCAACCTGAGGAGATCCACCCGCCTTGGCCTCCCAATGTGCTGGGATTACAGGCGTGAGCCACCACGCCCGGCCGATCAAAGATTATTTTTAAGATCCAAAGGCCTGTCTTGTGGCCCTGAGTTTGTTCCAGATTCTTCTGTGTTGTATAGGGAGTCAGAACACTGAGCCTGATATTATGGGCTCATAAGCAGCAGGTCGGGTTCTTCCACGCCCACTAAAAGCAGCCCACGGCACATTTTCCCATCTGTACTTTGACACAGGGGGCTAGAAAGTGTAGTGGAAGAACAGCAAGGCAATCATTACAGCCAGACGTCCGCCCTCACTGCCACTGTCAACTTTTCTCCTCTGAAGGAAGGCGCCAGAACGCACTGGCTGTGGGGAGGCGGCTCCCTTTCTCCCAGTGCTAATGGAGGCTAAACATGCATGTCTGGAGACCAGAAGTAAGCCCGAATGGTTTAATTTGATTTTCACAGACACATTTCAAGGGAGTTTTAACTGGCTTTTACTTTAAAAGCCAGGAAATCCCATAAAATCAAAACAAATCTTTATGGTGTAGCAACAGTGTGAAAAATATGCCACCAACAAAAACAGAAACATATGCTCCCAGGGTCTGGAATCCAGATCCCCGAAGAAGAAGAAGAGGAAAGTGAAGGAGCCACGTGGCGGGGACAGCAGACTAACCTGTTGGTCGGTGACGGGCTTGTCTGGGAATGGCTTTGCCCGTCCATAGGTGGCCTTGATGACTTGACTTCTGAAGTGCTCCAGCTGCAGCAGAAAGGGGGCAACAGTGTCAGGGGGGCAGTGGGGGCCGGCAAGCGGGGGCAGCGTTGCCATGGCAGGGTGCGGGAAACACCACTCAGCAGGGTTTGCACGCCTGAATGACCATTCCGCGTTATCAGAATCTTCACTGCTCACAGGGAGTGGCGGTACCCACAGAAGAAAGGAGAACAGCAGGCTTTAATTACTTTTTAGGCACGCCTGCCTAACCCGAACGATGCCTGTGGTCAGTGCACACACATGTCTCAAGCCCTCAGAAGAGCCTCTTGCTGCCAATTATCCAATGGGAAGTCTGGGGCCGGGAGCGCTGTTCCATAATTGCTAAGTTGGCACCAGACTGTGAAATAAATATTGAGGCTGTCAGTCCAAGTAAATTGTGTAGTCAGCAAGGAAGCTCGGCGAGAGGAGAATGTTCTCCCTTTCTCCATTTTGTGCCTGAGCCCATAAGCGTCCTGAAGACTGTCCCCACTGTGTTCATCTCGGTATCCCTGGAGCCCACTATAGTGCCTGGTGTGGAGGAGATACTCAAACACCCAGCTCACCTTTGTTGGATGCCTGTACACAGAAACATCAGCCAAAGCCAAGGGCCTCTACTTCTAGCGGCTTTCACTGAGCCCCTCCTGGGTGCTAGTGTTTTCGGGTTAAGGCTGATGAAATAGCAGTTACATTAAGTCCGGGCTTACAGAATCACAAGTCCAAGGTGTCCCGATTCCATCAGAAGTTAGAGGTAAAAAGGAGCCCGACTTTCTCTGGAAATTTACCAACATGGCAGCCCCTGGCGTGAGTCTCCAGTTCCCTGGCAAAATGTGGTTATTAAAGGCTCCAAAGCAGAGCCTTGAAGGGACCAAAAGGGCTACTGCGTCAACCAAAAAGTCAAGGGGGCCCAAGACACAGGTATTTACTGAACAGGGGAAGTTCTAATGGGAAATGTCTTAGGGACATCTCTGCAATGACCCTGCCAGGAGAAGACCAGGTGACATGAGGTTCTCAAAGCCATCCTCTGGTTTCATGGCCAAGGGGAGGGTCCCAGCTCACCCAAAGAATTGATTGTGTAGAGGAAGCCCTGTGAATGATGGTCCCCCCCATTGCCATTAGGGGCTCCCCATAGGAATGGCTGTCCAGGGCCATTGGGAGGGAGAGGTCATCTTAGACATGGCCTTGGGCCTGGGGTCACTTGGCTGGGGAAGGGCAGACTGTTGGACAGGAGCAGGGCCTTGGAGATACAGGAGCGGGAAGATGCTGGGAGGCAGAGACAGGGTTTGTGCTTTCTCTGGAGTCTAGATCTGGACCAGTCTCAGGACCTCCAGGGCTCCTCCCAGATGACCTCTGCCCAGAGCTGGAACAAGAATCTTGGCCGTTGGGCAAAGAGCACAGGTCAGGCCCTCAAATCAGGTTTGTGTTTCGGGGAAGGTTGAGGGTAGCCAATGTGCACAGGGAGAGGCCCAGACGGGCAGGTTCTCTGCCCTTGATAAGGGGCTGGCACCCCCACAGGAGAAATGGTGCTGGGGGTGACAGTGGTGAAATTTGAATTTTAGGGTGCAGGGACAAAGGCCTGGTCACACTGCCTGGTAAGGCTTGGATGGTAGAAAATGGAAGGGCTTTGGGAACTGAGCTGGGTGGTTTGGAGGGATCCTGGCTTTTAATCTTTCTTGGTAGTTCACCGACCCTCCTGAGAACCCAGTGGGATACATGAGGAGCCCTCCTTACCAGTAATAAAAATACACACACACACACACACACACGTGCGCACACAAATCATTCTGTGGATCCCCTGGAGCCGTGGTTTCCAGGAGAGGGACCCCTGTGGAGGAATCTAGGGTGGTCCTGAGGGTCACATGCCCTCCCATCTTGGTTTCCTGTTTGCCTTCCCTTAGCCCTCGGTAAACTCTCGTCTGCACATTCTGGCCCTCATGACTGTCACATGTGCCAGGAAGAGCCACTGGCAATTTCAGGCCACAGCATCAGAGATAACATCACCTCCAGATCAGGTCAGAGTGGCTCACCCGCAGCCGGGAGTTTCTCCATCCAGCATGCACTCTGGACACTCTGGGGTTTTACCTTATTAAGAAAAGTGGCATTTCCTTATAGACACTGACTGCAATGTCTGCTGGGGCCCGAGGGGAAGAAAGATTGTGGTAAATGTCAGGACTAAAAACATTAGGGAGAAAATGCTAGAGACACCACTGGGGGCAAGGGGCTCGGTTAACTGGGGGCAGGCATGGAGCCGGGATTGGCTGCCTGGTCCGAGTCTCAGGTCATTGTAAACTATTCCAGTGGGAGGCCTCCCAGTAGCAGAAACCTGTTTAGCGATGTCCACGGGGGTGGGGAGCTGCAGACAGCCTCTGCTCATGAGATAAATGGGAGAATTAATAATGCACGTCTGTCTTTCTACCTTGGGCGTCCTCCTCTCTTACCCCCACTGGCTGCTTGGGTGCAATCATTGGGGAGCGTGGGCCAATGAGGGGGGCTCTGGGACACGCCTACCTGACCTACTGCCCTCTCCAAATTGATTTTAATGAGGCTCTCTCTGTTCCCCATTTCTTGCAGCTGAAGCAATTTCCTTCTGGAATCCTCCTGAAGCTTCTCTTCAACCTGAAATGACGATGAAAGCGAGTGCTTGCTGCTAATGTGATCATAATGCACTCTGGGGAAATTCCTCTAGGACATCTAATGGCCGTGGGGGGTCCCAGAGGGGTCGGCACAGCTGCAGCCCACATGGCAGGGGTCACAGGCGTGCATGGGGTGGAGGCAGGCTCGGGGGCACCGTCTGTTGGGGGAAAGGGCCGGGCTCTGCACCCTGGGCTCAATGTTTGTCCTACCGCAGGCTCTAATCCCAGCTCGGTCCCTAACAAGCTGTATAATCTCAGCAAAGTCATTTCACTGCTCCGTGATTCAGCGTCCTTATCTGTCAAACGGGGTGATACTAGTTCCCTCTTCACAGTTATTGTGGGGATTTTAAAAAGCTTGGAATAGTGACAGCACCTCGTAAGGGCTCTATAAGGGTGTTAGATGTTGTAACCTAGAACAGGTGGATGACAGTAGCCACCATTCAGCGTCATCCTAACACCATAAGGAACCACCGCCCATTGTGGGTACTTGGTAAATGTTACTGCTGGGTTTATTTTTTATTTATTTATTTTTTTTTGAGACGGAGTCTCGCTCTGTCACCCAGGCTGGAGTGCAGTGGCCAGATGTCAGCTCACTGACTGCAAGCTCCGCCTCCCGGGTTTACGCCATTCTCCTGCCTCAGCCTCCCAAGTAGCTGGGACTACAGGCGCCCGCCATCTCGCCCGGCTAATTTTTTGTATTTTTAGTAGAGACGGGGTTTCACTGTGTTAGCCAGGATGGTCTCGATCTCCTGACCTCGTGATCCGCCCGTCTCGGCCTCCCAAAGTGCTGGGATTACAGGCTTGAGCCACCGCGCCCGGCCTACTGCTGGGTTTATTATCGTAACTGTTTATTGTTACCACTTCTAGCACACTTACCAAGGGAAACTGCTCTGGAAGACTCGCTAAGCAAGGGCTAGTAAAGAACTGTAGCTGGCAAAAGGCGGCCCATTTCCCCCCCCCCGCTTGCTTGGGTAATGGGTAACTCGAGGTGAGCTCGGGTGTGTTCGGTGCTGCCCTCTGCTGGCCATTACGGACCCTGCAGCTGCTCAGTTCATATCTAAACCATGAACCTTTTGGGCATCTGCTGAGCCAGGGCTCAGGCACTCCTAGGCAATGAGACAAACTCTCCTAGATGAGAGGATTTTGTTCTGAAACAACCTCACAAGTGGCTTATTAGGGGGCTAGAGAGGGGTCACATACATTTCATGTAAAACACCCAGAGCAACCTGTAAAGCTTTCTTCTGAGTTGCAAGGGGCAGCCAGTCCCCAGTGAGCTGTTTCCCGGGAAGGCCGGCTAAGCTCTCTGGGCCTCAGTTTCCTCACTTACATCCTCTCAGGTGTAAACATACCCCGACTTCTGTTTCAGAGGACGTTTTTCAAATGCTGCAAAAGCAGAGGCTGTCCTGGGCTCTGTTCTGGCTCCTCCTCTCAATGTATGGCCTGCCCGCCCCCATCCCCAGCTCTGGCAGTCCTGTTCCTCATATCACTGCCACAGCAGACCCTTGGCATCGGCTGTCAGAGGTTTATTTATTGAGCTGCTCCCTTGTGCATGGTGATATGGTTTGATGGTGTCTCAACCCAAATCTCAACTTCAATTGTATCTCCCAGAATTCCCAAGTGTTGTGGGAGGGACCCAGGGGGAGGTAACTGAATCATGGGGGCCGGACTTTGCCGTGCTATTCTCGTGATGGTGAATACGTCTCACGAAATTGATGGGTTTATCAGGGGTTTCCACTTTTGTTTCTTCCTCATTTTTCCCTTGCCACTGCCATGTAAGAAGTGCCTTTCTGCCATGATTCGGAGGCCTCCCCAGCCATGTGGAACTGTTAATCCAATTAAACCTCTTTTTCTTCCCAGTTTCGGGTGTGTCTTTATCAGCAGTGTGAAAATGGACTAATACACATGGTCTCAGGCTAGGTCCTGAGCACCTTTGGCTGTGATATCCAGCTTTCTTGCCTCTAATTTATTTCCTTCTAGAACATCCTTCATGGTCCTGTGAGAAGGTTGCCAAGCGGTGGGGCAGCACCGTCTGGCAGAACTTTCTGCAATGATGAAATGTTCTAACTCTGTGCTGTCATATAGGGTGGCCACTGGTCACATCTGGCTACTGAGCACTTGAAGTGGGGCTCCTGTGACTGAGGAACTGAATTTTACGTTATATTTAATTTCACCTAAATGGCCACACGTGGCTAGTGGCTGTGCCACAGTAACTGGAATCAGACAGGCCTGGCTTCCCCCAGTCTTGGCTTTGCCACTTACTGTGTGCCTTTGGGTAGTGACTTGACTCTGTGCTTTGACTTCCTCATCTGTAAAACAGGAATCTTGAAAAGCTCCAATATATTTTAAAAAATAAAATAAATTGGGCATAATAATTTCTAGGTCAGAGTTGTTGTGAGGATGAAAAGAGATGAAATGTTCGGCATAAGGCCAAGTCCATGTGGCTATCATTTTCACCATTATTATTAATCACAAATTTAATCATATTAGTTCCCTGTTCAAGAGCCTCAGTAGCTCCTCACTGCCTAGGTAGTCTACAGCCCAAGCTCCAAAACTAATGAAAAACAGCAAGCCAAAGATTCAAGCCCACATGTACCCCAATAAGATAAATAAAAACGAATTCACACCTAGATACATCCTAATAAAACTGCTGTAAGTCAAAGGAAAAGAAACATTTTAAAAATCCAGAATATAAAAAAGACTATATAATGATGCAATAGTTAGGTTATAGCTTACTTCTCTCTTTTTTTTTTTTTCCTGTCGTTTTTTTGAGACGGAGTCTCACTCTATTGCCCAGGCTGGAGTGCAGTGGCACGATCTCGGCTCACTACAACCTCTGCCTCCCGGGTTCAAGTGATTCTCCTGCCTCAGACTCCCGAGTAGCTGGGATTACACGCATGCACCACCACACCTGGTGAATTTTTTTTTTTTTTTTTTTTTGGAAGGGTGGGGGCCCCCTGTGTTGTCCAGGCTGTTCTCGAACTCTTGAGCTCAAATGATTCTCCCTCCTTGGCTTCCCAAAGTGCTGGGATTACAGGCATGAGCCACCACGCCCAGCTAGGTTATAACTTACTTCTAAATAGAAATAATTGGTGCCAAAAGACAATGGAATGATAGACTTACTGTCATCTATAACGTGCTCAAAGAAAACAATTGCCAGTGTAGAATACCTAGTCAAAATATGTTTCATGAATGAAGGATAAACATAGAAATTTTCAGACACATGCACATGCATACACACACATGCATGCATACACACACGTGCGTGCACACACACACATGCACACACACACTCCTGAGAGAATATGACACCAGCAGAGCCATGCTGAAGGAAAACACTAAAGGATGTTCTTCAGGCTGAAGAAAAATGATCTAGATGAATGATCAGAAATGTAGAAAACACATAATAGTAATGTGTGGATATGGATGTTGACTATAGAAAAATACTAATAATGTCTTTTGGAGTTTCAAATATAGAGAGAAGTTTAGAAAATGAAAACAATGGCATATAAGTCTGGATGGGGTAAGTGAAGTTAAAGTGTCAACGTCTAAGTCATTGTGTTAACAAGAAGAAGGATATAATTATTGATGAATATTGAATTTTGGTAAGTTGAAAATGCATATTGTAAAATTTAGAATAATCACTAAGACAGTAAAAGAGTTAAAAACTCACTAAATATTAGATTTTGGTAAGTCATGAATGCATGCGATTGTCTTATGATTATTAAAAGACGAGTAAAAGAGAGAAAATTTCCAAGCTAATACAGGGAAAAAGGGAATGATAAAAAACTGTCAACTCAAAAGAAGGGAAGAATGGGGAAAAAAGGAACATACCATAGGTAGTACACCCGGCCCTGAGCAAGAAGATAAATTTAAATCCCAATATACCAGCAATTATACTAAATATATTTGGACTGAAAGACAAAGATGGCGAAACTGTATAAAACTTATGTGCTGTTCACATGAGATACACATTGTAAAATAAAGATTGACATAGAAAGTGTGAAAAAGATAGTCTGTGAAAACTCGAATCAAAAGAAAGCTAGGTTAGCCGATGGAATTACCTTAATGACAAAGACTTTAAGGGAAAAACATCTCTAGCAATGAAGAGGAGCACCTTGTGATGGCCAAAGATTTGATTCGATAGGAAGTAATGAAATGGTAAATATATATGCATCTACTAACGCAGCCTCAAAATATATAAAGCAAAGATTGACAATATTAAAAAAAGAAAGACAAATCCATGATCATGATAGGATCTTTAAACAACGTGCCTCTCTCAGTGGCTGACAAAACACACAGACAAAAAAAAATCAACAGGAACATTTAAGTTTTGAGCATTATTGGCAAGCTTCATTTAATGTCCATATATAGAATACTAAACCCAATGACTGCAGGATGCATATTCTTTTCAAGTGTACGTGTGGAACTGCAGTCGGCCACATGCAGGTCATAAAAGAAGTCTCAATTAATATCAGAAGACTGAAGTTACACAGAAGATGTTCTCCGACCACAGTGGAATTAAGCTAAAAATCAGTAACAAAAAAAGGTAAGCAGAAAACCCTCAAATATTTAGAAATTAGGAAATAAGCTTCATAGTAACCAGTGGGTGAAAGAAGAAATCACAATGGGGATTTGGAAAATATTTTGATCTGAATAATAATGAAAATACTATATACTAAGACTTGTGGAATGCAGCCAAAGCCTTGCTTAGAGAAAAACTGATAGCCCAGAGAGCATTTTGACTCCATGTTCATGACTATAACTATTTAAAAGAAAAATATACCATAGCAAATTCATTTTCATTTCATTTTCATTATTTTCTAGAGCAAAGTTCATTAAACCAATTGTTTAACAGATTCCTAAATGTTTCCATTTTCACTTTAGTCTCCTGGAATTATTTTTATCTGGATCAGTTCTTTTGTAGGTAAATTATACAATTATGATTTGATTCATCTATAAGTTTTTCTGGACCCTATCAAATATTTACCAATCACAGGTCTGTTATTGTGGGTTTTATTTTGTAGTTCTCATTTCTACCATGTCCATTTTCCCCAGATTATATTTTGCAAATCTAACTTTTTCAAGAATATTTGATTTTTTTTAAGTGATTATTTTAATTTTTTGTAGAGACAAGGTCTCACTATGTTGGCCAGGCTGGTCCTGAACTCCTGGCCTAAAGCAACCCTCCTGCCTCGGCCTCCAAAGTGCTGGGATTACAGGCGTGAGCTACCGCACCTGGACAAGAATATTTGATTTTTCTCTTAAGTTTTAATCGATAAATAAATTTTACTCTGTGTAGTTTTACCTGTTGATTTTAATTTTGTGTTAATTATTTCTGCCAATACTAGTTACGTCTGACCAACTTTTGCAGGCTTCAGTACTATCCATAAGATGTGATTCTAGTGTAGTATACATTTCAGTTTGTGAGGTTTTAATGATTTGACCTCTGGTGACTATACTCACATTCATATTAAATAAAACTGGAGAAAAACTAGATTATTTGCTTTTATTTCTCAGATCATCCCTGTGAACCTCCCTTCACACAGAATTCCTCTGCCTTTTAGATTTGTTCTTAAAATATTCTCAGTTGTGGCTGGGCATGGTGTCTCAGGCCTGTAATCTCAGCACTTTTGGAGGCCGAGGCAGGAGGACTGCTTGAGGCCCGGAGGACCAGCCTGGGCAACATAGTGAATCTCTGTCTTTATTTATTTAAAACAAATTCTCAATGACAACCATCTTCTAATCAAATAAAGAAGATGATTCAAATGGAAAGAAATACATTCTGTCCACACTGCTCAGGACTCTTAAGGATATTTTCAGGTGATCCATCTGCCTTGGTCTCCCAAAGTACTGGGATTACAGGTGTAAGCTACCTTGCCGGCTTTAATTTAAATTTAAATAGCCATGCACTGTGATGGATAGCACACGTAGGGAGTATGCAATACAATTTTTTCCCCAGGATGGGAAGGGACATTAAAATAATTAAGCACCACCAAACTCTAAACTGGGATTGGGAGGCTGGAGGTGGGTCTCATTACCAAAAAGCAAGAAACAGTTTTAGAAGGCAGTGAGGAGTAGCTGGGTTACGCACAGGGGCCTTGGAGTCAGACCAACTTGGGTTCAAGTCCTGCCACAACTGCATTATGGAGTGAACTTGGTCCCTCTCCCTGTGTGAGCCTCAGTTTTCTCAGCTGTAAGAAGGGTTAATACCAGCATAGGCCACTTAGAGGACTAACAGGGATGATGAGTGGGGAGCTACTGCCCACACCGCTCTCTGGGCCTGTCGCCCACTACGTACCTTGCTCTTTTCTCTCAGAGTCCTAGAGATCACGCTTTGTTCAGTACAACTCTTCCTCAGCTCTGCCCTGAGCTTCTTCATTTCTTTCTCCATGTCTTGGATTTGCTGAAAAAGTTTCAACAACAGAGGAGTGAACCTCCCTGATGGGGGCAGGAGCTGCCTTCTCGGCCGAGAGGTCTGAGCCCTCATTACCCCTGGCACCCCATCCATTAAGGTGGAAACCTTGTCTGGTATCAGCTTGTTTAATTCCTTCTCCCGGAGGAAGGTTTTACATCTCTCAGCAAAATAGACTTTATTTTTCAACGGATACATTAAAAGTTCTGGATAAAGGAAATTAGTTTCTTTTGGAAATCAGTACAGCTCCTGGATTAAGGACTACAGGACATCCATCAACTCACTAGAAACCCTGCTCTTGGGGTATAGAGATAAGAGATATGGTCGAAGTTGGGCCACAGGATTCCCTGTGGCATTGATTGGCTCTACCTCCCTCAAGGGTTTCCCTGGGTCAGTTGGGTTGAGACCCCGGGACAGGGCAGAGAGGGCTGGCAGCGGCCACACACTGCGTCCCCTGCCCCACCCCTGACCTGTGACTCCCAAAACCTACCACAGGACCATTGTTGTAACTTGCTGAAGTAGTTTTTTATAAATACCATATTCCAATAACATCCTCCCTAGATAAAAACAAAACAAGGCAAGAGTGTGGTTCACACCCGTAATCCTAGACGGTGTATATAGGAGGCCAAAAGGTGTGATGCCTGAGTCAGAGGTCTAGACAGCTGGGGAAACTGGATGCAAGGCCCATCTTCTACTAAAAACAAAAAAAAAAAAATTGCTGGGCATGACGGTCGTGCGGCCTATATCCCAGTTGCTTGCTTGGGAGGCTGAGACAGGAGAATGTGCTGTGTACGCGGATGAGCAGAGATTAGTCCAGTGAGCCAAGAGTGCACTCGAACATGCACTCCAGCAGCTGCCGCACAGAGTTAGACTTGGTCACACCGACAC